GCTTTTTCCAGTGTTGATTTTGAGCTTTATTGCATTGTGGCCTAATAGAATGCATGGGATTATTTCAGTTTTTTTGTATTTGTTGAGGTTTGTTTTGTGGCCCACTATGTGATCAATTTTTGAAAAAGTTTCATGGGGTGCTGAGTAGAAAGTGTATTCTTTGGTGCTTGGGTGGAATATTCAAAAGATGTCTGTTAGGTCCATTTGATATATGGTATCATTTAATTCAGATGTCTCTCTGTTTATTCGTTGTCTAGCTCACCTGTCTAATGGAGACAGTGGGGTTTTGAAGTCTCCTACCATTAATGAGTTGGGAATAATCTGGGTCTTAAAGTCAGTAGTACTGCTTTTATGAAGTTGGCTGCCTCAGAGTTTGGTGAATATATGTTCATGATTGTAATATCTTCTTGGTTTATTGTTCCTTTGATCAGAATGAAGGGTCCTCTTTATGTCTTCTGATTAGTTTTGGTTTAGAGTCTATTTTTTCTTAGTACGAATTGCAACCCTTGCTTGTTTCTTGGTGCCATTTGCTTGGAATATTCTTTTCCATCCTTTTACCTTAAGGCAGTGCCTGTCCTTGAAGGTGAGATGGGTTTCTTGAAGACAGCAAAGTGATGGATTTTGCTTCTTAATCCATTCACTTAGCTGTGTCTTTTGACTGGAGAGTTCAGTCCATTGATATTTAAAGTTATTATTGAAAGATGTGCATTGGTTGCCGTCATTTTGATTGCTGTTCAAGTTCTCTAATTTTATGTTAATTATACCTGATTCCTTCTATTTTGCTTCTCCTGGGTACTTGCTCAAGTATTCATTGAAGGGCAGGTTTTCTGAACATGCATCCATTCAGGCTATTCATGTCATGGAAGATTTTTTTTACCCTCAAATATAGTAGACATTTTTGTTGGGTAAAGTATTCTGGGCTGACATCTATTGTCATGTACAACTGGAAATACTTGGTCCAGGCTCTTCTGGCTCTCATAGTTTGCATTAATAAGTCAGCTATAATTCTGATGGCTTTCCTTTGTATGCAACTTGCTGTTTTTCTTTTGCTGCTTTCAGTATTCTCTCTTTGTTCTGTACATTTAGTGTTTTTACTATGATATGTCATGGGGAGTTTCTTTTCTGACCCTGTCTATTTGGTGTTCTATGTGCTTCCTGTATTTTTATGGGGATGTCTTTCCTTAATTTTGGGAAATTCTCTTCTATGATCCTGTTTAAGATCTGGTCAACACCATTAACCTGAAATGCTTCTCCTTCCTCGATTCTTATGATCTGTAGATTTGGTCTTTTTATGGTCTTTTCATCTCTTGCAAGTTCCATTCCTGTGTTTTTTAAATTTTCCATAATCTTTGCTTGAGTGGTCCAATTCTTCAACTTTATCCTCTAGTGTTGATATTGTTTTCCATTTCATTCATTCTAGCAGTGAGGCTTTCCCCTGTTGCTTCAGTTTGGCTTACTGAGTTTTTCACTTCCTTCTTCATTTCTGCCTGAGTTTTCTTCAATGTTTCTGTCTCTTTTGTGAATTCATTCAGAAGTTTATCCCTATCTTCTTTCAGCTCTTTGATTTGTTTGTTCGTGTGTTCTTTAAATTTGTTGAATTCCTTGATCATGTTTATGATTGTTCTTTTAAATTCAGTGTCCCGGGTCTCTAGGGGATTCTCCTTGTAGAATTCTTATACAGGATTGGTGGAGTTTGGTGGGGAGATAGTGTTTTGGCTTTCCATTTTATTATTCTTTCGTTGTGATTTTGGCATATGAATTTCTTTTGTTGTTTATGATTCTGATATGAGAATTAAGTTGAAGTACGCTTCTGTTTGTATTATCTGGTTGCCTAGATCCTTTCTTTATTGGTTATGTAAAGCTAGTTGGTGCAGGGTTCAGGTTCTCTCAGGTTTATTTTGGAGGGAATTGATGGCTTCAGATCAGCTGTCCAGGAGTACCCACAGAATTGGAATGCCCAATTCAGGTTTCAGTCAGGTACACTCAGGCTTCCTTCACCACGTGGAGGCAGGATCTGGGCATTCTCAGGCAGTCCACCCTCTCAGGTTGTCTGTAGGGGAAGCTGACCACCACATGGAGGCAGGATCGGGGGCTCTCAGGCATTTCCTTGCATTCTCAGCCCCTCTGTCAGGGAGAGGCCAGAGGGAGGCCAGAATTCAGCACTCTCTGGGGTCTTCTGAGATCAGAGCTGCTACAGGATGGAGATCAGAACCCACCCTCTCAGGCTGTCTGCTAGGATCTCAGCCTTAGCCTACAAAAGCCAGATCTCTGCTTATTATTTTCATGTGTATGAATGTATCACCTGCATGTATGTAAGTGTACCTGTGTCATGCAATGCCCACAGAGGATAGAAGAGGCCATCAGATCCCCTGGAACTGGAGTTACGGACAGTTGTTAGCTGCTATGTGGGTGCTGGGATTCAAACCCAAGTCTTCTGCAGAACAGCCAGTGTTCTTACCTGCTGAGCTATCTCTCTAGTCCCTATGACAATGTTCTTTAACACATAAAGATTTTAAATTTTGATGGGATCCTCATTTTGCTCATGGTTTGAACTCCTGAGGTTTCCCCCATGTGGCAGGTGAGGAGTCAGTGCTCCTGGCCCCTGTCAGCTGTGAGGGATTGCTGCTCTAACCTTGCAGGTGGCCCTTCCCTAACCACAGATGGCTTCCTTACCCGCTGAGAGCGAAGGCTGAGCTGAACTCAGGAGCACCCTCTCTGGATCCCTGTCTTCCAGCACTCTCTCCCAGGACATCCCCTACACCCCCAGACTCTGCTATGGCCCTATCTCTGTCTTCCCTTCCCACATGCTCTGTTCTGTTCCCTCAACTCCATTAGCCCACAGGGCTCTGCCTGGCTTTCCCTTCTTCCACTGCAGTCTGCGAAGGTGAGGCATGTAGGGTCCACCTTTCTGCTTGCCCTCCAGTGATACTTCTTCTCTTCTGACTGAGTCTTAAAGACAGACCATTCCTTTATACATCGTTGGGTTTTCATTGTTTTAGATAGAGGCATGAGTCCAGTGTCCTTTTCTTCTCTGTCCCCAGCACCTCTGTAAGAATCGATCCACTTTTTGTTTTACTTTTTATATTTCTATTTTTTTCTGAGTTTTCTGGACTGTCTTCTCAAATCTTTCTTTTCTTCATTCATCTTCATTTTTGTTTTTTTTTCAAATTCTGATTTATAGACTCCTCATCTCTAAATTCCATCATTTCTAAATTTTCTTTTTGCTTCTCTGGCAACACCAGGCACTTCCCATCTGTCTGGAGGGTTCTGTTATCTGTAGCGACAGTTTCTGTTCTTTTCTCATGATCACTCTGGGTTGGACTCTCATCATTTTCTGTGACTTGTCTTTAAGTGAACTGAGTTTTCTTATGAATTTAAGAGGCACTGCTGGGCCAGGACATTGTTTCTTTTTTCACGGCCCCAGAGTTTCCTCTTCTCCTTTCACAAGGGATTACTTCCATGTCTCTAGGTTTATCTGCAGCCTCTGTCTACCATCACTACCATCAGTCATTGTCTGGCATCTGTTATCTATCACATCATGTGTCACCACAACCACCACCACTATCTCTATATCATATCTATTTAATTTTTTGAGGAACTGGAGATTGAACCTAGCGCTTTGTACATGCTAAGCAGTTATTTTGACAGTAATCTACACCCTAGCCCTATTTTATGCTTTATTTTGCCACAAGGTCTCCCTATGCAACCCAGGCTGACTTTGAACTTACTCTATAGCCCAGCTAAGCTTTGAACTTGTGAACTTCCTACCTCAGCCTTCTGAATAGCTGGGACTATAGGCCTATGCCACTAGGCCTGGCTGTGTCTGTCTATCATCTGTGTATCGTCTTCTCAGACTTTCTGAGATTTCCTCTTTCCCCACCCTTGTCTGGACCCACTGTCTCTGAGCTCCTTCTCATCTGAGGCCTACTCTACATGTCGACGTTCGGTGGGAGGCTCTGTCCTCCACGGGTCTCTGTGGTTAGTGCAGTGAGTTCTTGGGATGACTGCGGCTTCTTTAGACCTGTCCAAGATTTGCTTCCACTCACCTAGTTCAGATTCAGTTTCCAGTTAGTACCTGCCGGAAATGTTGAGTTCTTTGGTTCTTAGCCTCCCACTCCTCTGGCTTCTCCCAGCTTCTACTTACTGTGCGTATCAAATGTTTCACCAGTAGGCTCGTGGCAGATGTGTCTGTGGGTCTTGGTTTTGCATCCTAGTGGCTCTGGGGTACTTGGGGGATGAGGCCACCTGCTGCTGTAGCTGCTATCCTCCTGCAAGGCCTCCTTTTGGGATGATTCTTCCCTCCAGCCCCCTAGCCCTCCCCCTCCCCCAAATACTGACCAGCCATATCCAGTCACCTCCTATCCTTTGAGTAAGCAATGACCTTCCTCTCTCCTCCCTATTCTACAGACTCCTAATAGTGCAAAGTCAGGGAAGCCTTCCCGCCCTCCTCCCTGGGGAGGGGTGTCACTGGCCTCCTCTAGAGCATCCCTGTGGCAGGATAAATGTGCCTCTCTCTGTTGTGGGATGTTTCATACCACTGACTTTCTCAACTGCCTTCCCCATGGGTCAGCATCTCATGGCAAGAACCCTGTCCGTTCCTCTGCTTAGTGTCTGGCCCAGGAGTAGCTCAAGGCAGATGCCTAGTAAAGGTCATCTGATATGACTATGACTTTCCTAGGTCCTGTAGAACATCTCAGAGTAGGTCAGTAGCGGTAGAACCAGTGTGACCATCACCTTCCACAGAACGGTCTGTCTTACCGGCTGTTCATTCAGTCTTCAACTCCATAGTCGGCTGTCACCTACTGTGGAAAGAGAACAAGGAGGGTCTGTGGCTGAACTAAGGGCCTTGATGCACTCCTCTGACATAACCCAGAGCTCTTCTACCCATCTCTTTGGGTCTTGAGGTCCCTGGCTCTAGTTCAGGATAAATCACCATGGCACCTCTGGGTCTCTGAGTAGCGAGCGGAAGAACCCACAGCATCTCACCTTGTCTCTTCTAGCCTTTATACTTCTGGTTGGAGGCATGGAAATTGGCCTGTCCCACTTCCCCTTCTTTGCCTGCCTCTCCTCGGAGTTCCAGCTGGTCAGCTCCGTCCTGGGCTTTGGCTACACGCTGACTTGGTAAGATGACGGCCTGCTCTCCTCATCCAGCCTCTTTGGCCATGGCTGAGCCCTGGTGAGAGACAAATGCTCTGAGGCTCCTTGTGGAGGACACCAAGGTTCATAGTGGACAGACATGACTTGTCCAATGTCCCACTGTGGCCCCTTCATGGAGTGACTCTAAGGTTTCCAAAGGTCAGGCCAGGACCCTGTCTACCTCACAAGGATGCTTATGATTAGACTCCTACAAATCAGGGATTCAGAAAATTCACTTCTGTAAACTTCAGTGCGTCGCAGTGGGGGAAGCAGGAGTCCTATTCCCTGTCCAAGCCCATGGCTTCTCTCGGAGAAAGTGTATGTGTTTCTGCTTGGTATCAGGGGCCATCCTGGCCTGGTCTCTTCCTCCTTCTCCAGTCCCTAACAATATCTGTTGTCTGACTGACCCAGAAACAATCCCACTCCCAAACCCCTGAGGCTTATCCCTTGCCTCCCACACCCTTGACCACCTGCCTCCACATCCAGCAAGAGCCTCGGTCAGAGTTAAGAGACCTGGGACCTCGCCCCAGCTCTGTGGGTCATATGTGTCTCTATGTGGCTAGGGTAAATCCCTTGCTGACCCTGTTCTTCCTATCTCCCCAAATATTGGGGGCCGGGGAGAAGAGGAGCTTCCTTCATCTTCCTCCTCTGCCCACACAGACTCTGAGACCCTCTGGGCCATGCTGGGAGGGAAACCAGGCCCCTACCCCTGCTTCTGTTCCTGCAGGTTTGCTGTCACTGTCTTTCAGATCTCACAGTGTCCCCACGGGCAGGTAAGTCCCTACTGACCATGCTCAGGATGTTCAGTCACATCGTCATAGTTATCCTGCCATGTGAGCTTGGATAAGCCTTTGTCACTCTCTGGGCCTCAGTTTCCCCTCATGTGGGGGTGGGGATCTGGGGCTGCTCACGATGGTCTGCTTGTATAGCACTTCATGCTCATCAGGCCTGCCTGTTTACGGGCAGGTGCTGTAATTTTGTCTTCACAGCAGCCCTGCCAGGTTCATCAAACCTACTTTACAGGATGGATAATGAGGCCCGAGTAACTCACAGGAGGCAGCAGAGCTGGGAGCTGAGGCCAGCTGAGGCCTGGCAGACACCAAAGCCCATTTTTTTGCTCTCTACTCAGCCTCAGCTTCTCTTTCTACCAAATGGGAACATTAGACAGGCGAAGCCTTTCTGACTTGGCCATGTACTGTCCTGAGAGTTGGTGAAAGCTACAAGTTAGTTCTCTAGATCCAGAAAAGGAGCAAAGTGAAAGGGGATCACACTGCACTAGGACAGGCTCAGGCAGGTTTGGGGGAGCCAAGGGAAGCTATCTGTGCCTGAGCCCACAAAGGCCTTGCCTTGCCAACTCTCTCCAAGTTTAGTAGTGGAGTATTAGATAGGAATGATAAAAAAAAAGTCTGGTGGAGCCTGATTAGAAAGATGAGATAGGGAGGACGGGCCTTCCCCCCACATCTCTGGTCAGGGTTGTGAGCACGTAGCACACCTCTGCCCAGGAAGATGCCCCTTCACCGCTGACCCCAGAGCCTGAGATTCTAGATCACAGCCTTTCTTTGGCACCTCGTTGACCTGTCAGCCTCTCAGAGATACTTGAAATTAAAATATTCATGGATAACTAGAGAGAGCACAGGATCTTCTTTCTAATTCAGCTCCTGTCATTAAGAACTGCCTTGTGTTAAGCTTTGTCCCAGTCCTGGTCCTTAAGCATTGAACTTCTGAAGACAGTGAATCCTATCCCCATTCCACTGGTAGGGAAGGCAGGGCTCAGGGGTCATGTGATTAGAAAACCACAGGAGAGCATCCAGACTAAGGAAGTGCTATTTGACCTTGTGTTTTCAAAAGTCTTCATTGAAACATAGTTTTAAAAAATGAGACTTGTGAAAAGTCTAAAATGTCAAATATTAGGGGAAATTTTAAGTAAATTTTGGTTCATCTAAAGAACGCACTATGAGTGTGTGGGAAAGTGACTGGGACAAACAGACCGGATATTCAGAGCGGTCTTGGCTCACAGGTATGTAGACTGAGACATGGCATGCAAAGAGACACCAAAATGCTAACTGTGATCTGAGGCTGAGCCAGAGCCTGTGTTGAGGGAGGGTGAAGGGAAGCGAGAGCCCCCATCTTAGTGCCTCTCCATCCTGCACCCCAACATCACATCAAACCCCAGTTCCCCAAGGCGGAATTAGGACTCCAGAACACAAAACCAACCAGTACATTATAAAAGATTAGCCACAATAGTATTTGTCTGAAAATAGTTTTTTTTTTTTTAAATATTTTATTTATTTATTTATTTATTTATTTATTTATTTATTTATTTATAGCCCCAGCTGTCCTGGAACTCACTATGTAGACCAGGCTGGCCTTGAACTCACAGAGATCTGCCTGCCTCTGCCTCCCGAGTGCTGGGATTAAAGGCATGCGCCACCATGCCTGGCCCCTTATTTATTTTTATGTGTGTGTGTGTGTATATTGCCTGCATGTAGGTAAGTGCACCCAAGTTGTGCAATGCCCGAGGAGGACAGAAGAGGTTGTCAGATTCCCTGGAACTGGAGTTACAGACAGTTGTTAGCTGCCATGTGGGTGCTGGGATTTGAACCCGGGTCTGCTGCAAGAACAGCCAGTGTTAATAGTTTTTTTTTTTTAAAGGCATTTCAAAAAAAATTGAAAACAAGAAAAACTATGAACACTGCTTTTAAAATTTTTTTATTATTTTTATTTTATGTGTATGAGTGTTTTGCCTGCATGTATGTAAGCGTACTCGTGTCATGCAGTGCTCACAGAGGTCAGAAGAGGGCATTGGATTCCCTGAAACTTGAGTTAGGACAGTTGTTAGCTACCATGTGGGTTCTGGGTAGTAAACCCAGGTCCTCTGCAAGAGCAATCAGTGCTTTTAACTGCTGAGTCACCTCTCCAGCCCCAGTAGGAACACTACCTTGAGAAACCTGTTCCTTCTACCATTGTGAGTGACTCCCAACCTTATGACAGTTATAGGGTGGGTCCTTCCCCTCCCCTTTTCTCCCTCCCTCCCTTCTCTCTCTCCCTGCTCTCCCTCTGTTCCTCTCCCTCTCTATCCTCTCCTCTCCTTCTTCCCACCTTCTCTCTCCCTCCCTCCCTGCCTCCCTCTCTCTCTGCTCTTTTGTCCCCCACTACTTCCTTCCATCTACCTACCTACCTGTTTCCTAGTGGCTCATATTTCCCAAAAAGGAATATTTAATTTCTTCATCAGAAGCCCCCACCCCCCAAAAAAGCAGAAGAAGTTCCATCCAGGGTTGCTGGACACCAAGCCCATCTCTCCTCCTGACATATGAAATGGGACAGAGAAGAACAGATTGGCTGACCGAGTGGGGTGCGGGAGAAGGGACTATTACTGATTTAGCTGTGTGGAGAGGGCAGGTCCTGGTGCCAGCTGGCCGTGTCCTGCCTACAGCTTCACTGTGTGGTGGCCTGGCCTTGCCTCACTGCAGCCTGCCCCCCCCCACACCTTCACTGTGTGGTGGCCTGGCCTTGCCTCACTGCAGCCTGCTCCCCCACACCTTCACTGTGGGGAGCCTGGCCTTGCCTCACTGCAGCCTGCCCCCCCACACCCACTCTGCTTTTGTCACAGTTTCTGGGGAGATATGAGACCCTTGTGTTCTACTGGCCTTCCCTGATGTGCCTGGGGTTCCTGATGGGCCGTTTCCTGCACATGTTCTGGAAGGCTCTGAAGGTCCAATTGGGCCTGGAGTCCCAGGCGGTGAGTATTGTCATGGGCACTGCAGATCCCCCATGGGTTGCCCTCACCACAGCCCTGGGCAGTGGGCTCTGCTGTTCTCCCATGCTAACATGTACAGCCTCTCCCTTTCAGGGCAAATGGCTCCAACACAGAGGTCATACTGGGGCCAGATAGGCTCTTTCCTCTCCTCTTACCTTGCTATGAATCAGACCCTGGAGTTTACAGTGATGATTGGGGGCTCAAAGCCACAGCTTTGTTCTCATCCCCTTCGGGGTTTAAGGGAGATGTAAATGGTTTGTTAGACTGACTTTAATTTTTTCTTGTCCTTTGGTCCTTATTTTGAAATAAGAATGTGATAGGATAAACCAGGTTATGCTATAGTAACAAATAGCCCCTGAATCTCAGTGACTTAAACAATAAATGTTCACTTCTTACTTTACCTATGTGCCAATCAAGAGCGTACTGAGGACTTTTTCCCACATTCTCACCCAGTGATCCAGGCTGATCAGAACCATCAGCCATCATCAGAAACAGTATTGACTGACAAAGAACAGAGAAAGATGTCATAGTGAAGCTACTTATGTATTTTTATTTTTATTTTATGTGTATGAGTATTTTGTCTGCATGTATGTAAGTGCACCATGTGTGTGCAACACCCACAGAGGCCAGAAGAGGGCATTGGATCTCCTTGAATTAGATTTACAGCTTATTGTTAACTGCCATGTGGAAGCTGGTAACCATACCTGGGTCCTCTACAAGAGCAGCCAGTGGTCTTAACTGCTGAGCCATCTCTCCAGCCCCCACACTAGCTTTCTTGTTTGTTTGCTTATTTTGTCTCCCTGTAGCCCCAGCTGGCCTGGAACTCACTATGTAGACCAGATTCCCTATGTAACGCAGTGTCCAGGTACTTCATACAGAGTACCCTATTTGATCCTCACAATAACCTTTGGAAAGCATTGTTTGCTCTTGCTGATGAGGGCCTACAGAGCAGAGACATAGCTTTCCCAAGGCACACAAACTGTACACAGCCAGCCAGGTCTACGACCAGCACTTCTGGACTCTGCCAGCATCCTGAGTGGGTCAGATCCCATCTGAAAGTATGAAAATTCTGACTGCTGTAGAAGCAAAAAGCCACTTGGTGGTATTATTATTATTATTGTTGTTGTTGTTGTTAATTATTTTGAGACAGGATCTCACTATGTAGCCCTAGCTGGCCTGGAAGTCACTATGTAGATCAGGCTAAACTCAAACTCATAGAGATCTGCCTGCCTCAGCCTTCTGAGTGCTGGGATTAAAGGGACACACCACCATACTGGGCACTTGATTTTCGATACTGAAAAAAAAGAAATGGGTAAAACATACATACACGTCCCACCGTTCACCAACAGTCAAAAGGTTTAGATTTGGGGTTCTGAGAGCAGTGACTGGCCCAGCCAGGGCAGGAGAGTTGAGGCAGGCCAGACTTCTGGCCTTTGGGAAAGTAGCCTGTTCCTCCATCTGAGAGAGGCCAGAAGCTGGGAATGGCTAAGGAGAGGATCCAACCCCTGGCCTCCATGGTGATGACTGCATCTATGAGTCAGAGCATCCTTTGCTTCCTTGTAGGAAGAGAAGCCAGTGCTGGAGACCCACCAGGCAGAGCACGTGAAAAGGCTGCTGAGGAAGGCTGACCTCCAGTAAGAGGCTCTTCTGCCCCTCCCCTTGCCCCTGTTCACCCTGGACAGGCCCTGAGATGGTGGAAGGGCTCCTCTGGAGTCAGGACTCCTGCTTGCTGATAACAAGAACAGCCCAAAGAGGACCAAAGTTCAGAAGTAAACTGAGGGGCTCAGAACTGGAACTAGAGTCTAGTAAGACTCTAGAGAGAGTCTGTTTGAAGCCAGCTAGACCTTGGAGCTTAAGGGATAACCTCAGAACTAGGTGTCTCTGCCTGAGGCTCCCAGATCTGCGTTTAATTGTCTGGGCCTCACACAGGTGGGCCTCCTCCACATGGCCAACCCCAGACTTCTGAGCATATACTCTCAGTGGAAAGAAAATTTTTCTGTTTGAGTTTTCCAAATGAAAATCATATGAGCATGTTTCAATGGATCAAATGCCACCGGGAAACACAGTGCCTAAATGATAGACCTACACTGATGGGCTAAGCCTGGCTCACCTGTTTTATGTCTCACTTTTTGGCATAGGAAGTAGTGCCAGCCTCACTTAACCAGTAAGACCCAGGGTAGGGAATGATTAACTTCCCACCAAACCTGAGATGGTCCAGACCAGCCCACCTCTGCCTCTGCCTCTGTGCATAGATCCCAAAGAAGGGCTGCAGGGTCTTGTCCCACTTCACACAGAGGCAAAGCTTCTACTTTGAGTAGAATTATATCTAACTACCTGTATTAAAATTTTCACAGTAATACACGCATAAACAAGAGAGACTAGTTACTTTCTCATATACAAGATCTCTGGAGGTGAGTGGCCCACAGCAACCCTAGGCTGCCCACAATGGCAGCTCACAGGCCACTGGTGTTTCTGCTCTAGCATCTTAGTATATGCTTCTCCACCCCAGTGCTGTCTCATGGTCCAATATGGCTGCTGGAACTCCAGCCACCATAACTACATTTCGGAGGACAGATAGAAGGAAAGAAGGCCAGCAAAGGAGGCTTGTGTCTGTGTCAGTCCCACTTGATAGTCTCCCAAAGCCCCACACCATACTTGGGGTCCTGCATCTCATCAGAGCACTCTTAACTGCAATAAAAGCTAGAATTTTAGTCTTTTTCTTTGAAAACTTGTTGCCCTGCCTCCAAACTCCAGTTTGTCCTTAAGACTGAAGGAAAGTGACAGTGGGAACTGCCACTGATCCCGCTCTGCGCCAAGGCCAAGATGAGCGGCAGCGGGGGTGGGGGTGGTGTTTACTTACCCACTGCCCCCTTTCCTGGGTGTTTATTCATTCACAGAGAGAGAAAAAAGTCCTGGTTCCAAGCCAGGGTGTATGAGTGGGACCCATGCTTCCAGTTCCCCAGCCGGATGATTGGGACCCTAGTGCTGGCTGCCATCTGCTTGTACCTTGTAAGTGTACCATAAAAATCCTTTCTGTTTCATACTTAGAGGAGGGTCAGGGCTGGTCGCTGATTCTTTGAGGCAAACATTGTGTGTCTCAAAATCTGGGTCAGAAGGTACTTTGGTGAGTCAAAGAAGCACAATGCTTTAATCTCACCATTTAAACTCCGAGGACATTTTCACCTACACGGGAATATTACAGCAGAATGAAATAAATAAAACAGACAGTGCTTAAAAACACACGTGGTAAAAGTTAGCATCCACTGAAAGCTAGTGAGGAAAAGAAATATGTTTGAAATCATTTGCTATGCAAAACTTGACCTAGGAAAGCTGGTAGAATGATCCCTTGAAGAAAACTTACAGAATTTATAGTCAGCAAATTATGCTGTAAAATTGAAATCATTTAAACAGTTGATGCTCACAAAATAATTTCAGTGAATTAAAAAATAAAAGTGGATAAATAGGATTGATTTATGGTGTAGGAATGTCCTTCATTTGCTTTCTTGACAGTATTTTAAATGGTGTCATAATTATTTTTTTTCTGCTTCAATGTTTTATCAAGTCATCAAAACATTTTGTGTGGTCTGAGTTGTTTGGAATAAAATGGCTGAGTCAAAAGCAGGATTGATAAGTAGAAATAAAAGTGGTAAGGCCTAGCTGAGCATGGCGATGCACACCTTTAATCCCAGCACTCAGGAGGCACAGGCAGGCAGATGTCTGTGAGATCAATCAAGGCCGGCCTGGTTAAGTTCCGGTCCAACTGGGGCAACAGAGAGACCCTGTCTCAAAAAAAAAAATTTAAAAAGTGATGAGGCCCAATTATTTTTGTTTATATTCAAGGTACCGGGATGGTAATAATTTAGTAAAGCTTTTTTTTTTTAATGTGTGTATGAGTGTTTTGCCTGAATGTATGTAAGAGCCCCAGTTGCATGCAATGCCCAGGGAGGCCAAAAGAGGGCATCAGATCCACTGGAGATGGAGTTACCAATGTCTGTGAGCTGCCGTGTGGATGGTGGGAACTGAACACTGGTCTTCTGCAAAGGCATCCAGTGTGCTTAACTGCTGAGCCATCTCTCCAGCCCTATGTGGTAAAAAGTTTTTAAGGGAATATTTTGGTTCAGTTATACTAAAAGACCCAATAACTTCCTAAATTCCAATGGCTATGCAGTTCCACCCTCCCAAGTAGTCTAGTTTTGAGACAAAAGAAGGGAGAATGGATTCTTCAATATTCTCTCTCTCTCTCTCTCTCTCTCTCTCTCTCTCTCTCTGTATTTCCATGAATGTGTGGAAGCCAGAGGTTGATGTCAGGAGTCTTCCTCACCACTGTCCACTTTATTGAGGCAGCGTCTTTCTTTGAGCTCACCAATTGGGCTAGTCTGGCTAGGTAGCTTATTCTGGGGCCTGTCTCCACCTTCCTAGCACTGGGATTGTAGACAGACTGCCATGCCTCCTCAGCTTTTATGTGGGTGCTGGAGATCTGAACTCCAGTTCTCATGCTTGTGTGGCAAGTGCTTTTATCCTCTGAGCCATCTCTCCAGCCCCCCGCCTTGTATTTTTTGAGACAGGGTCTCTTACTGGGACCTGAGGTTCACTGATTAATCTAGCCTGGGGCCAGAGAGCTACAGGGATATGCCTGCCTCCACCTTCCCAGCTCTAGGATTGCAAGCATACACCACCATGCCTGGTTTTTTATGTGGGTGCTGGGGATCAAACATGAGCTCATGCTTGGATAGCAAGCACTTTACCAACTGAGCTACCCCTCAGCCCCCAGAGTGGATTTTAAAGGACATCTGGAGTTCTCTGGAACGGTGAAAAATGCACTTGGAGTTCTGATTAGTGTGTCTTAAGTACTTATTGAACATACTATATACTGAGTTAAGAGCTGGGAGAGGGCAGAGGGATGATTCAGTGTAGTGCTGGCCTGGGAGAAGCATCAGGTCTAAGACCTGGAATGAGGGCTGACATCCTAGGAGAGAGAAGGGATAAGGTGACGGCTCTGAAGTTTAGCGATTACTCTAGACTAAGAAACTGCCTTGTGACAGCATTTGAACTCCACTTTCAGAGACAAACATGATTTGGTTGTTGGAGGAAGATGAACAGTAGAGGCTAGAGAAACAGCAGCATGGTGGGGCTGATGGGATGGTGGGCAGGATGGCAATCATGCAGAAAATCTCCAGTTTAACTCTTGTGAGATCAGTGAAGAGTGTGGAGATGTGGCTGGAATTGCCCTCACAGCCACCCCATGATCACTCTGGTTCCATTGATGTTTCAAGAGTTCCTTGGGCCTTTCAGGATGAAGAACAGAGTAGGTCTTCCATTCATCTTAGACTAGCCTGTGTGGAGTCATTTTTAGAGTTTTGACTGTCTGGAAGAGATCCACTGACCTGGGAGAACTTGAAGCCTGTGCTTTGTGTCCCCAGTTCATCGTCATTGAGTTCTGCATGTTTGTGTACATGAGAGACAAGCTGGATGTGTTTGAAGACAAACTGGAGAGCTACTTCACCTACATGAATGAGACAGGGACCTTGACCCCAGTCATCCTACAAGTGCAAGAGCTGATCAGTGTCACTAAAGGTAAAGCCATCCCTCCCAGTATTCCCATCACCTGTGTGGGAAATGGGCCTCCTGTATGGTAATTGAACAGCTTGTCCACATATGTTTCAGATGTTGTTGCTAACTTTTGTAACTGCCCAGCTGAGATGTCTGGATTTCTTTTGTGTTGGAGTTGATTTGTACCTTCTTGGGCTGACTAGGACAGAGGGCTCAGAACAAGGACCATGCTGTTAAAAATTGTTCAGGGCTGAACTGAACATGCCCAGAGAATTTTCTTATTTTAGATAGTTTGGTTTCTTTCCATGTTGCTGTGTAAATATCCCAAGAAAAGCAATTTAAGGGACAAAGCGTTTATTCTGTCTCATAGTTCAAGATGCAGTCAGTCCATCATGGCAGGGAAGCAAAGGCAGCAGGCTCTGAAGCAGCTGCTCACATCACGTTCACAGTGAGGAAGCAGAGATGATGTAGGCATGCTGCTGCTCAGCTCCCTTTCTCCACACACAGCCAGGAGCCCAGCCAGGGAATGGTGCTGCCCACAGTGGGCAGGTGTGCCCACCTCAATTAGTGCAATCAAGATAATCCCTTGATGACAGTGGGAAGAACTAGAATCATCTTGTATTTTCTCTGTGGTGAAAGTGAAATGCCAAGCTTTCACTTTTAAGAGGACCCAAAAAGTTTCTATCTTTCAAATTTGCCCCAAACACTTTTTAATATAGATTTCCTGAACTTATTCCTCTTGTTTAACTGAATTTTCAAACCTATGTTATACTCTTCTCATCACCGTGACAAAACACCAGACACATGCAACTTAAGGCAGAAAGGTTGTTCATGGTTTAAGAGAACACAGTCTATCAGGGTGAGAAGGCATAGGGCTGGGCTCTGCCCATGGCGGTGGGAGCTTATGGCACAGTGTGCTACATCTCTCAGAATAGGGAGCAGATGTTATACCCTCAACCCACACCCACACCCCTAGGGACCCATTTCCTTCTAAAGGTTCTACAACCTTCCCAGACAGCACTTGGAGATGGTTATGTATTCAAATACAGGAGTCTTTGGGGGGACATTTTACATTCAAACCACCGCACACCTTTTGACAGACATTTCTCTCAGCCTTCCCATCTGCCACTACCCACACCTGATTATCACCGTCCTACACTCTGCTTCTGTGAGTCCAATTTCTTTAGACTCCCTGAGTAAGTGAGGTTGTGCAGCATTTGTCTTTCTATGCCTGGTTTATTTCACTTAGCATAATGTCCTCCAAGTTCAACATATGACAACATGTTCTTTTTCTGGCCTAGCAGTATCCCACCCTGTGCAGCTTTATGGAGTTTTCTTTGCTCATTGGTTGATGGACACTTAGGCTGATTCTGTATCTCAGCTAAGATGAATGATGCTTCAGGGACAATGGAAATACAACTCTCTTCCACACACTGATTTAATTTCCTTCAGATAAATACCTAGTAGTGAGACTGATGGATTATATAGCAGTTCTATTGTTACTTTGAGGGGTGAGGTGGTTTGACTAAGAATATCCTCCATAGACTCAAATATTTGAACTTGGTGCCTCATTGGTGATGTTTTGGGAGGTTTAGGAGGTATGGCCTTGCTGGAGGAAGTATGTCACTCGGGGTAGGCTTAGAGAGTTCATAGTCGGGCCCCACTTCTGGTTGATCTCCCTGCTTCCTGTGAGTGAAGACGTGAGCTCTTTGCTTTCTGTGGCAGCCACTTCCTGCCACCATGCCTCCTCCGCTATTATAGACTGTCCGTCTGGAACTGTAAATCAAATTGAATGCCTCCTTCTACAAGTTGCCTTGGTCATGGTGTTTTATCACAGCAACAGAAAAGTGACCAACACAAGGGGGCTCCTTACTGTTTTCCTTAATGTTTGTAATGATTTTCATTCCCACCAGTAGTGTACAAAAGTTCCCCTTCTCTACATCATCACCAGTATTTGAAAAATCCATCTTAACAGCTGTGAAGTGACATCTCATTGTTTTAGATTTACATTTCTCTGATAATTAATAATAAGCATTTTTTTTCATATGTCTGTTGGCCAATTGTATGTCTCCTTTGAAGAAATGTCTATTCAGGTCTTTTACCCATTTTCATAGGTAATAGGAAAACCACTTTCAACAGAAGCTTTAATAGAAGATGATGTATTCTGATGATATGCCCATTGTCTGTAGAAGGAGGAGAGCGGCCCCCTATCCCCAGATAAGAAAGAACCTTTGGAAAGATGTCAGGACAAATGCCCTCTGGGGCATTTAGGAGAGGGCTACGTGAGTGAAGTACTTACTCTGCAAGCAGGAGGACCTGAATTCAGTCCCCAGCACTCACATAGAAAACTGAGTGTGGTAGTGCATGCTAGCAACCCCAGCACTGGGGAGGTAGAGACAGGAGGATCCCTGGGACTTGCTGGCCAGCCAGCCTAGCTGAATCAGCAAGCCCTAGGTCCCAGTGAGAAACCTTGTCTCAAAAAACTAGATGGACAACTCCTGAGGAACCATACCCAAGGTTGACCTCTAGCCTACACAAACACACACACACACACACACACACACACACACACACACACACTTTGTGTCACAAGACAAGTCAGAATCTCCTTCTTGACCACCTCAATTTTTTTCACCTGTAAAATGAGATTTACATAGATAGAGGGTTTCTGAAAGGTTTTGTGGCTTTGATACTTTATGATCCTAAGCCCCAAAATATCCCTCAAGTCATGAGACACCTGTTGCAAGTGATTTTCTTCCCATTAAAACTGATGAATTGGGGCTGGAGAGATGGCTCAGCAATTAAGAGCACTGGGTGCGCTTGCAGAGGACCTGGCTTCAGTTGCCAGAACCCACATGGATGCAAACAACCATTCTTAACTCTAGTTCCAGGGGACTTGATGCCCTCTTCTGGCCTCTTCATGCATTGCACACACAGGTACACTTACATACATGTAGGCAAAACATTCATACACCTAAAAATAAAGATAGATAAATAAATAACATTTTTAAAGATATCGATGAACTGAGAGAGTATCAAAATCAGAAGAAGACAGCTTTGATGTGAGTTGTTTTCTTACAGTCATATGGTCTCAGTAAATTAATTTATAAGTGAACATTGAGGCAAAAATTGCTCCTTCTATATTGCCATACTTTATTGTGGCCTATGGACATCTTATGAATTTTAAGTAGATTTATATTTAATATAAAGTCCTGAGCTTAATGCTTAGAGAGCACATTCTCCTGAATTTCAGTAATACCTATTCTTAATCTTACTGTGACAGTCTCTACTTCTGTCTGTTCTAGATATTTGTCATTCTTGTTGTTTTGAGACAGAGTCTCATGTAGTCCCTTTAACTATTTATGATGGATTACCTTGAACTTCTGATCCTCCTGCCTCTGCCTTCCATTCCTAGTTACTGGAATTATAGGCACGTACTGAGTTCTTATTTTCTTTTTCTTGTCTGCTAGCATGGGTCAGAACTCCAGTACAGTCCCGTAGAACTGGCAAGAGCAGACACTGGGTTTTCTTGTTGTTTAGTCCAGGAGGGAGGTGCTTTCAGTCCTTCGCCCCTAAGTATAATATTCACTGTGGACTTTTAGCAGATACGCTTTGTCAGGCGGAGGAAGTTCTCTGCTAATCTTAGTTTGTCGAGTGTTTAAAAAATGTTTTTTGTTTTATGTGTATAAGTGTATTACCTGCATGTATGTAAATGTACCCATGTCATGCAATGCCCATGGAGGTCAGAAGAAGGTGTCAAATTCTATGGAACTGGAGCTACAGATGGTTGTTAGCCACCCTGTGGGTACTGGAATCTGAACTAGGGTCCTCTGCAAGAGCAGTCAGTGATCTTAACTGCTGAGCCATCTCTCCAGCCCCTGTTGAGTATTTTTAATCATAAAGAGATGTTTTCAAATGGTTTTTCTTTACTTGGGAGTCAGCTTTATAGAAACTCTAACTACCCCAGCAAATGGCCTTCCTTCCCCATTTCCATATCCATCTCACAAACACAGACTCTCTAAAAGCAAATCAGAGCCTGTGGTAGTTTATTGTGATTTCCAACTTGACAGGATCTAGAATCATCTAGGAGAGGAGCCTCTAGGCCTGTCTGAAGCATTATCTAGACTAGGTTAATTGAAGTAGGAAGACTCACCCTAAATGTGGGTGGCAGCATTCCATGGGCTGCTGTCCTAGACTGAATAAAAAGGAGAATGGTTGCCGAGCCCTAGCATTCATTTCCTTCTGCTTCCTGCCTGTGGATACAAGCTCCAGCCATCAGGTCTTCCCCACCATGACAGACTGTACCAGTGAACCAGGAGCCAAAAATAAACTCTTCCTTCAAGTTGCTTTTGTTAGGGTATTTTGTCACAGTAACAGAAAAGTAAGGCTGGGTGTGGTGGTACATGCCTATAATCCCAGCACCCAGGAGGCAGAGGCAGGTGGATCTCTGGGAGTTCCAAGTTGGGAGTTCCAGACCAGCCAGGGCTGCAGAGTGAGATCTTGCCTCAAAAGAAGAAAAGGAAAGAAAAGTAGCTAAGACAGAGACTAGATATCAAAAACTTGCTGAAAGGTGGATTTGGACTGGCTAAAACCTCTTGTAGTCTGGTCACTCTGTGACCAGTGCAACACCACCCCCCAAAAGTGTCAATTAGCAGCCAGCTATTGATGGCACTGTGGATGGGAGCTACTGATTGTGTGAATAGCCCATAATTTCCCCCAACCTTAATTCAATGTAGATGGAATATATTAGTATCAAAGCAGAGGATTGTGCAGGAAATAAAGTACAGGAAGGATTCGTGTGGCTACAATGAGCTGAGGTTTACCCACGGGAAATGTTGTAAAGGAGATGTCATAGCTGCGCCTAGACCTTTCTGACACAGTAGCTGCACTTTGAAAATTCCATTTCAGGTGTGTTTTCCAAGACCTCTGACATCACTCTTTGCTTTTCAGGAGTCTGGGTGGTGACTATTGTGCCTGCCTCTCTCACGTGTGTCAGCTACCTCTTCCACATTTTAGCCTGTTACAGGTAAGAGAACTCTCAGAATCATTTGCCTGACTTTAGCCAGAAATATGCATGATGGATGTTACCCAGAATTCCTGAGCTGTGCCTGCATGGCTCAGTGTGGCACCAGACAGTGAATACAAGTGCCAGCCATGGTCTGACACATCTTTTGTTAAAAGGCACGTAAAGCCTAACTATCAAGGTGAATGTCGGTAATGAACCACCATTCTGCTTCCAGCCCTCATCTGAACCCCAGCCCAGCCCTGAGGGGTGAGCCCTTTCATCTCCACTCTTACAGTTCTCAAAGCTGAGCCTCAATAAAGCATGACCAAGCCATGGTCCTTCTGACCCCTAGAAACCTTGGTATTTCTTGTACATTCTGTTCCATTGTTGGGTATTAGATATCCCCACTATTCAGGGCTGATAACACTGGGCCCTCAGTGGAAGTAGTAAAGGGGTCCAGAGTATCAGTTTCAGAAATAGCAGTGCAGGAAGAGGGTATGGCCTTAAATGAATAGTGGGTATCTGCATGCAGGTATCAACTTTGCCTCTCTCTCTCTCTCTCTCTCTCTCTCTCTCTCTCTCTCTCTCTAATAAGTAAATAAATAAATGTTAAAACCCTCTCTCTCTCTCTCTCTCTCTCTCTCTCTCTCTCTCTTTCTCTCTCTAATAAGTAAATAAATAAATGTTAAAAAAACAACAGCAACAACACACCCACCTTTGCACTGCCTCCATCTGCCTGGCCAAAGATGGCATCCACAGAAGACTTTCCCAGCATGAGGGGCCCCAGTGCTCCAGGCAGCCCTGCCTCACTCCCTCTCTGCTTTCTTCTCCCTGGACCAATCAAGCTGCTTCCCTGCCCCACTGTGTGGGCCTGTGTCTATGCCTGCTTCCTCCCTTCTCAGTCTGCTCCTGGATGTGGCTGGGAGATTCCCAGTGAGACATCTGAGACAACCACACTGCAGGGCCCTGATGGACGCCTGGGCCGGGGGAGGGGGGGAGGATGAGGAGGACGAGGAGGACGAGAAAGAGGAAGAGAAAGAGGAGGGAAGGAGGAGGAGGAAACATCCAGGAAAGGAAGCCTGTGTTCCTGTCCAGGTTGCCCCTGTCCTTACCTGTCACCAAGGAGTGATGTTTGCTACCCTGCCTCCTTATCAGGACTGTGGGGCAGAGGAAACTTTGGACAAGAAAGTGCCCTCTATGCTCCAGGCCACCAGCACCATGCCAACCTTTTAATTCTTCTCAGCACTATTCCAACCTCAATACAAACCCTTAGAAAAGTGTCACAGGATAAGCGTGGTGGTGCTCCCCCAGAATCCTCACACTAAAAGGCAGAGGCAGGAGGATCACAAGTTCAAGGACAGCTTCATCTACATAGTGAGTTCCAGGCCAGCCAGGGCTACACAGAGAGATCCTGCCTCACCCCACCTTCCTGACCAAAAAAAATTTCAGAGAATATTTACTACAAAGTCTTCCCCCTACCTAGACCTCTAATTTGTGTGTGTGTGTGAATGTGTGATTGCGTGCATATGTGTACTAAGAGTATGTGTATATGTGTGCACGTGTGCTGTGTGCATGTATGTACATATGCATGCATGTGTGTGGATATGTGTGCATGCTCATTATGTGTATATGGTATGCATGTGTGTTGTGTGTTTGCACGTCTATATGTGTGTTTACACGTGTGTATATGTGTGTGGTGTGTGTATGTGCATATATGTGTGTATGCATATGTGGGTGTGGGTGTGGGTGTGCATCAGAGGATAACTTGTGGGGGTCAGTTCTCTCCTCCCACCATTTGGGTCCCAGGGATGGAACTCAGTCATCACGAGTGCCTTTACCAGCTGAGCCATTTTGCCAGCTCCTGATTTTTCTTTATGTTTCTATAAATGTTTGGCTATCAACAAAATTTCTGTCTTCAGCTGTTTTAAAAATCTTATTATATATCATAGCAAAACAAGAAAATGTAGAAAGCAGAATAAAAAAAGAAAAAGTCACACACAGTCTATCAGATTCAGTTGCTGTTATGACTTGGTCAACATGTATTATTTTTATAGACTACCTTGACCTTAAGGTTTCAAAGGGAAATCAGAGCTTTACCGGGAGCTGCAGTGGACACCACTGCCGTGGGCTCTGTGGCCTTTCCGTCAAGCTCTGACTCTTCAGGAAGCACCAGGGTTATGAACACGACTTTCTGTCCTCTTCATTCTCCAGAAAGCACATGAAGAGGCTGTGGGCAGGAGACAAGCACTTCCTCCCTCTGAAGTTCCACACTCCTTCCTCAGCAGACAGCGTGGTAAGCTTTTCTAGGGAGTTGGTTTTTGAACCACACCTCACAGGGCAGACTCCAGCCTGAGAAAAAGCCATGTGTGGAAACGTGGATGACCCTCAGGTCAGGGTCCTGGGCACAGGGCTTGGAGAAAAAGAGTCTCTTCCTGATGGGGCCTCTGCCTTCCTTCTAAATCTCAGGTGGCCATTGCAAGGTACTCTGGCTGGCAGATAGCCTACATCCTATGGGGTAAGTGCCACCCCGTGACCAGTTCAACCCAGCACATGTTCCCTGGGCACCTGCAGAGTCCCAGCTGTGGGGAGGGCACACAAGCAGCTATACCCCTGAGGAGTCTCTAGAATGCATGAGAAATACTTGGCACATCATCTCCCACCTCACTGGCTATCTTTGCTAAGGGCATCAGTGAGCAGAGCAGGAAATGAACCTCCATGTCAGCTCAGGGCCCAGGGCCTTTTGGGGAAGTTGACATTTGAACTGTACCTTCCAGGAAGCTAGGTGAACAGAAAGATAAAGGGGGCGATGCCAGGCAGAAGAGACAGTATTAGCAAATGTGCCAGAGCCTCTGGTGGAAGAGGGCATAGGGTTGCCTGCAGAGAAGACCCCCGTAGTGACTTTTACTCCCACATCCCCAGGTTACCTCATTATCCATGTGGTGCAGAGCCTATGCGGTGTGATGCTCATGTATAGCCTAGTGCTGCCCATCACTCACCACCAAGGCCTGGAGATGCTGCAAGGGCTGGGCCTTGGGCTGTAAGTACTAAGTAGATGTCCTGTCCTTGCTGGTCCTGGGGACCAAACTTTGGGCCCAAGGTCTTGGTTCCTACCAAGGGATAGACCAGCACAGCACCTCACAGGGAGGGAACCTTACAGTTTCCAAAAGGCTTCCTCTCCACCATTCCACAAGACCTTCACAAAAGTGTGTGTGATACATAAATGTTTGTTTTCCAGCTAGGAAACTTGGCTAGTAGGAGGCAGGACAGAGGGATGGGAGGAGTCAGGGTTCCTGGATAAGCTTTCTGATGTGTTGTATTGTCTGGGCTAAAATTCCTTCCCTTTTCTGAGCCTTTCTTAGCTCTCTGGAGATGGTGATTGCTTGGTGACTGAGTACTTGGTACGCCTCTCTGATAGCAGCCTGGGAGTTTGGTGCAGCCAGGAGACAGGCACTGGGAGGCTGTGTTCAAGAAAAGGGACAGGCTGGAACCTAAACCTCCTTTAGCCACCACCCCACATTGCCACTCAGGACTGTGAGCACAGCATACCACCCAGTCTGGGGACTTCCCTGCTCTGAGTTGCATGATTTCATCCTTGCCTAGAGCCACCAGAGTGTCTGTGGTGGAGCCCTCCTGTCCCCTGTCAGCCTTCTTAGATGCTCCCCCAAGCTTATTCCTTGTTCTCATTCTCCACATGCTGAGCCACTCACCCCACTGTCACCTCTGGCAATAGGGACAAGATGAGGAGTCATGGATTATGATCTGGAGCTAGAAGACCTGCATGTGTCCTTAGGACAGCCCCTCTCCACCCTTCCCCTGTCCCTTGGTTTGCCCGTGTGCACCATAGGCTTGGGAATGAGCTGGGAGCCAAACCCAGAGCTTATGCCTTCTGTTATGCCAGGACACAGCCTCTCTCCTCTCTCTCATTGGGCATCTGAGAAAGGCCTGGAGCAGTAGAATGGGCCACCTCAGGATGGGCCTGCCCTGTGTTTCAGCCTCACTGTGTCCATTGTCGTGGGCCTCATGGTCCTGCAGATGTGGATTGCTGCCAGCTTCTTCTTGCAGCCCAAGCTGGGCACTGCTGACAAGCAGAAGCCCTTGGCTCTCAACAACAGGTGAGGGGAGAGGAGGGGTGGGGAAGCATACGACATCCACTCTTGCTCCGGCTTCTCCCGTGGCAGATTCTGGAGGACTCTGCATTCTGTGCCAGATTGTGGGGCCATGCACAGGGGTGGGCTCTGGGGTCAGACAGCCTGGGATCCAAAGCTGCCCCACCGAGTACTAGTAGAGCCGTGTCACCAGAGTGACCTTACAAGCATGAAACTCAAGCTTTCCTGTTTATAAATCATTTTGTATTCTTCAATGAAATGTTTTAAGGATGGAATATATAAAATACAGACTTGGAACAACAGACATTAAGTACACAATAGTCCTTTAATTCATTCATTCATTGAGGAAACCTCAGCACTGAAAGTAAATAATCCCCTGTTGTCTGCCTCAGCTTCATAGCTCACCAGAGAAGAATGGCACATAAATAAGGACCACGGATTTCAGAACGCTGCAGAAGTGTGAGGAGGAGGAGGGGCTGAAGAGGAAGGAGGAGAGGCAGGGGAGGAGGCGGGGAGAGGGAGGGGAGGAGATGAGACACAGGATGGTAATTCCACCTCAGTGTCTGAGCTGAGGGAAGCCGAGCAGGGGCAGAATCTCCACCTTGGAGAGGAGAAGGCATGGCTGGCACCTGCCACACCAGCTACCACTAGATAAAAGCATCAGGGCATGGACGGCAGGATGTGGTAGGAGAATGCTGAGATTTCCAAGGTGTTCACCTACAGTGCCCTTAGTGTGGGCGCCAGGAGACACAGTGACAAGACCAGGAAGTCCTCTGTTAGAGGAGCTGTGGCATTCAGGACTCAGTTTGTTACCTCAGTTTGTCCTGGAGGCAACAGAACCATGTGACCAGGGGATCCTCTGAGACTTCCTTTAGAGGACTGGGAAGAGCTCTGGCTGGAGTAGGACCTTATTATGACACACAGTGATAAACTCCAACCCTGATACAATCCTTAAACCAACTGTAGCTTCATGATATTTCTCAGCCTCTAAGAACCCTCATCCAAGAATCCAAGGGTCAAACTAAACAAATACCATCCTCACTAACATCCATCCTATGCTGTGTTCAGTGCCCACTTGACCATCTGGGACCTAGATCTCCCTTCAGTGCTGTGAGCCAGTGTGAGCACTCAGCTCCCCTGTGATCCAGGTCATCAGGCTAGGAGACAGAGTTGCAGAGTTTAATGTTGTGTGTAGTCACCTTGCCTGACTGAGAGGCTGCCTTGGGTCGGCTTCTGTCTGCAGGAGAGCCTTCCACAACTTCAACTACTTCCTGTTCTTCTACAACGTGCTGCTGGGCCTGGGTGCCTGCCTTTCCAGGCTGCTCATCAGCTGCCTTCTGGGGACATGGTTGATCGCTCGCATTGACAGGACCATTATGCAGAGTGGCTATGAAGGCACGGACATGGGTGAGTGACCCATGGGACGGCTCTCCTTGGGCCTTGATGGCAGCTGCCTGGGAAAGATGGACATCAGGGGCTGGTGTGAACACCTTCCCTTAGGCTTGGAACTTGCCTGCTTGGTGGAGGAGTCTATAAAGCCAAGCAATGCAAACACGTATGTCCTGGGCTGGTGAGATGGCTCAGTCATTAAAAGTGCTTGCTGTGCAAGCATGAGGAGCCGAATTTGATCCCCAGAACCTATGTAAAACGTTATCCATGCTGGTTCATGCTTGTAATCCTGGCACTGGGGAAATGGAGACAGGCCAGCCATCCTTGCCTAGTCGGTGAGCCACAGGCCCCAGTGAGAGACCCTGACTCAAAACACAAGGTGGAGAGCTCCGAAGAAACAGCACCCCAGCCTGACCTGTGGCATCCACATGCACCACATTCATGTGCAGCTGTATACACAAGAACACACACACACACACACACACACACGCACGCACACATGCACGCACGCACGCGCGCCCACCCGAGCACGCGCAAGACGTATTCAGGAGTGAGCTCAAGATTAATTCAACCTGTTCTGATCTCTAGAGTAAAGAAATTACTAGCAGCTATATAATTAAAAAGTATAAACTGGGGGCTGGAGAGATGGCTCAGCGGTTAAGAGCACTGACTGCTCTTGCCGAGGACCCGGGTTTGATTCCCAGCACCCACATGGCGGCTACGAACCATCCTTCACTCCAGTTCCAGGGGAATCCGAAGCCGTCTTCTGACCTCCACGGCATTGCACGGCACGGGTGCACTCACATACATGCAGGCAATACACTCATACACACAAAATAAAAATAACAAATAAAATATATTTTTTTAAAGTACAAACTGGGACAGCCTGGCCTGACCTGCCTTCATCCACGTTTCAGGGTTCAGTGCATGGATCGGCATGCTCTATGTGGACCATTATCACACCAACCCTGTGCTGGTTAGCTTTTGCCACATCCTGATCACAAGCCACAGAGAGAGGAAGCTGCAGAGGAATCTCAAATACCAATCTGCAGGTAGTGTCTGCTGCTGGAACCTGCTCTGGGTTCAGAGTGGAAATGGATCCCCAAACGCTCCCTGGGATCCCCAAGATGCTCCAGACCCCCTTTCTTGCTCCTCTTCAGCCTGCACTCTCTTTAGCCAGGTTGCTCAGGCGATGTAGATCCTGGCCAGCCCAGCTGTATGGCCCTGTCCTGCTGACTGGCCTCCCCCCTTACTCCTGGAGTTGAGCTCTTGTTCTTTGGGTAGAGTCCTCTGTACTGTAGTTTGGGATTCCAGTGCACAACTCGGGCCTCACAGATGATACCATTTCCAATATGGTGCTCAGTTTTTATTATTCTGCCCTCCTGCCTCTTAAGGACTCACATGAACTCGTTGCTAGTCCTTATAGGTCTGTGGCACAATTCTCAGGCCTCTACCTCCCTCATCCTCCAGGAGTCCCAACCTAGATCCTTCCTCCACACCTCATGCATTGTGGGAAACTCTTTCCAAAGCCTCTGAGAGTAGCAGAGGCAAACTCCTTTAATTACCAGCCTCCATCCCTGACCTTTCTGCTGATTCTGTCCTAGGTCCCTGCATCTCAGCTAGGTCCAGAACGAGGTGGCTCTTGCTGCAGACACTGGTCAACAACCCCAGGCTTATCATGCACAGAAAATCAAAATCTGGGCACAGTTCCCAGGAGTTCACCCAGATTCTGCTGACACGCCCAGATTGCTGACCCAGCCACCAACATCTGCTCCAAGGCCAGTCCAGGCCATGTGCTCCAGAGAGAAGGCTCAGTTCAACAGATGTTCCCTGCAGAGAGGCAGGATGGCACAGCCATTGTCCATGCACATGACAGCACTGGCCACTCCTGGGATGGCCACCTGGACCAAGGGTTGAGGTCTAGGACTATTTCATTCCCCTGGCAAAAACAAAAGAAAAAAACTGAAAGAAATGTTTGAGGAACAAACTTTGCCCATCAGTGACCTCCTCTGTCCCCTGTGAGTAGGTAGCCATGAGGGTCATCAGTTAGGATACATGAAGTGGGGGCTGTAGAGATGACTTGGGGGTTAAACACAATTGTTGCTGTTCTTAGAGAGCCCTAGTTTGGTTTCCAGCACCTACCTGAGGCAGGTCACAAATGCCTATAACAACCGTCAAGGGATCTGATGCCCTCTTCTGACCTCTGTGAACAGTCCCCCACCCTCCACACACACATGTGGTGTACACATATACATAAACAAAAATAATAAAAGTAAATTTCTTTAAAAGTGTTTAAAGTCACCAAGCATGATGGTACACGCAATCCCAGTACTCAGGAGGCAGAGGCAGGCAGATCTCACTGAAGCTAGCCTGTTTACATAGTGAGTTCCAGGACAGCTGGGGCTACAGAGAGACCGTGTCTCAAAAATAAATAAATGAATAAATAAATAAGTGCTCCATGGTTAGGAGCACTGACTGTTCTTGCAGAGGACCCGGTTTGGTTTCAAGTACCAACAACTGTCCATAACTCCAGTTCCAGGGAAATCCAACACGCTCTTCTGACCTCTGTTGGCATTGCACAACAGGGGTGCACTTATACACATGTAAGCAATACACTCATACACATAAAAATAAAAATAAGCAAGTATATTAATAAATAATAAAATGTTAAAGAAACATAACATTAACTCTCTATCCTATGGCCTCCTGGGAAGCATATCAGAGTTGATCTGAGTCTTCTTCCCAAACCGTATGCTCAGACTCCCTCTGTGGGATCACCTGAGAAAGCCATGTGTCTAAGGAAGCAGAGATGGTGTGAACCAGAATTCTAGATGGAGAGCAATAAACCAAGACTATGTGAACAGAAAGTCAAGACATTTGATGTTGGTGGTCCATGTAGCATGTGAGGGTAACAGGGTGCTGGGAGATGGTGAGGCTCAACCCAAGGACTCCCAAGGGTCAGACTGGGAAGTTTAGATGTTTGTCCTTGTGCAGAGCTCAGTACCTACACAAATTCTCATGCTCAAGCACGGCCTAGAGCTGATAGAGATTGACCGTTCAAAGTCCTTATGAGTCTGAGCAAGTGCCGTGAGGACCCAGAGGCCCAGAGTGATGGCGGCCTGGTCGTTGTGTACAGTCATTCGTGCTGGTAGATGTATTTGCCAGCGTTGGTGCTTTCAGCTAAATCTCTACAGCATCTCTTTGACACTTTGATTCTAGAAGCTGAGAAAGCTAGGATACCCACCCCGCACACTACTTTGACACTCTGTGATGCTGCCCCCCGCCGACTACTTTGAGGTTCTGTGACACAAATCAAATCGTTTTGCCTTTCTCTGTTTGTCTTCTGAATCTGCAAAAAGAGGCGATACCCAACACCCAAAATTCTTTTGGGAATAAAATTAATGAAAACACACAGACATGTTTAAGCTTCTGCCTGACTATCCTAAACTCTCAAAGGTGAAGCTCTGAGTCTGGCCGACACTATGGTTTGAATATGGGGAGTGTCTCCCAAAGGCCCAGGTACATGTTAAAGTTTTGGCTCCCAGGACAGCACTATGGGGAGGTGCTGGGACCTGTAGGGAGTGGGGTCTAGTGGGAAGTCCTGAAGCCGAATCCTTGAAGGAGATTCTAGGACCCTGGTCTCTTTCTCAGCTGGTGAATGGCCTTGCTTCACTAGACATTCCTATCATGTGCTGCCTTGTTAGAGGCTCAAAACATGGGCCACTCCACCACAGACTGAAAGCTCCACAACTGCGAACCAGAATAAACCTTTTCTCTTTATGAGTTTTTGTCTCAGATAATCTGGTACAGTAACAGGAAGATAACAGAGATATAATTTCACAGAAAGATCCAAATGTGTGCATGTGTTCCACATTGTTATTCATGAAGAAAAGGCAAATTAGAACCACAATACTGTGTATAATGGCTAAAATAAAACCTGTTGACACTATCAAGTGTGGGTGAGGATGCAGAACACTAGAAATGTGTTTGCTCTGTGTGTGTGTGTGTGTGTGAGAGAGAGAGAGAGAGAGAGAGAGAGAGAGCTGAAGATGGACACAGCAATTCCAATATTATTTGTGTGCCACATAGAAATGCCTACATATGTTCACCATACAGAAGAACGGTTACAGCAGCAATATGGACACATTCACAAATTGAAACTGAGAAACTCAACATGCAGCCATAACCGTGGAGTTCCCACTGGTCTGTCCTCTCTTGATCCACCCTCCTGCTGAGACTTTCCAGAGCTTTTTATTCCTTGTGGTGTTTTCCATTTCCAGCACTTCAGATCAGCTTCTCTTCAGTTCCTCTACCTCTTTGCAGAACTTTTTCATATCATGCATTGTCTCCCTTAATCTTGTTCCGCTATTTGAACCTTTTACCATATTTTTTAATAGAAAGTTCTTTTAAATATTTTTTTATTTATTACTTTCATTTCATGTGTATGAGTGCACCGCCTGCCTGTATGTGAGTGCACCCGTGTCATGCAATGCCGTGGAGGTCAGAAGAGGGCTTCAGATTCCCCTGGAACTGGAGTTAAGGACAGTTTTGTAGCCACCATGTGGGTGCTGGGAATCGAACCCAGGTCGTCTGCAAGAGCAGTTGGTGCTCCCAACCGCCGAACCATCTCTCCAGCCCCAGAAAGTTCTTTTTTTAACTTAAAAAAAAAAATTATTGAGAATTTCACACATGCATATAAGGTGTTTTGATCAAATCCACGCCTCCTCCCTCCCCTCCACTCTTCCCATAGTTCCCCATCACTTTTTCCTGAACAGCTTGGTGTTCTCTCTTTTTTTTTTTAATGAGACTTTTTGCTACTCTAACATTCCCCCCTCTGAAGAGGTAACCCTAAAATCTTTTAGGGATTAGGTAACAGCTCCCAAATACTTTTGACAGTTTTGGCCTTTGGAACATAGTATGTTGCTAAGAGGTCCAAGAACGTTTGATTTTTAGCCAAGAAACTGGCTACTTTTCTTTGGACCTTTTACCATATTTATAATCATTACTTGAGCTTTTTGTCTGGGTTACCTTCTTACTTACTCTCACTAGATGCCATTCCTGTAGGGTGAATAAATTCTGGAGGGGTTATGCTGTCCTGTTTTTTTGAGTTTCTTATGTTATTACTATGTTGAGATTTATGCATCTGGTGTTATTTCTTAGTTTGGTTTATTGTTATTTTTATCAGCTACAGTATCTCAGTTGAAGTATTTGCAATGTTCAATTGGAACTTGGATGTAGAAGAGTTAAGTTCAAAAAATAGTTCCTTAGTCCAGGAGCTCAGGGTGTCTGGTATAAGCTCTATATCAGTCCCTGAGTAGAAATTAAGTGGGAGAGCAACCACAGCTGCTGGATATTACTGCTTTGCAAATGTACTAGCCATGCAACAGTGGTCCTTCTGACTTCAATAACTGCTGGAGGATCGACAGCCATAGATAGTATGGTGTGTACTCAGATTTTAGTTAATGGGATTAGAAATGGGAGGAAAGTAGGATGGGGAAAGAGAGGAAGAAGTATTAGATCACCTTTGAAAAGAAGAAAAGGTGGGTAAAGTAGGTGGGATGTAAATTTGGGGTACTGTTGGAGTGTACAGATTTTAGACTGTTAAAGCTATGGAAGGTTATAATTAAGAAATGAAAAGAGGAGGAGCTAGGGTGAGAGGAAAAAGAACAGACATAGGATGGGGGGGTGAGTGAAGAGCCTTACAGTGAACTGTGTGGAGAAACAGCAACAGTCTTAAAGCCTAACTGAGCTGCAAAACCATCATAAGGCATATATGCAAGAGTAGGAACTAAATAATAGGAAATAAAAATAAAAAGATTATTTATGGAGTGAATTTCTGACAAAACTGCACTGAGTTGAAAAGTTCTCAGATCCCTCAGGCTTTAGCAGCAACTTAAAATGAACAGTGGAGTGTGGTCGTACTTGCCTATAATCCCAGCACCTGGAGGCAGAGGCAAGTGGTGCTTTCTGAGATCAAGTCCAGCATGGGACCACAGGGAGACCCTGCCTCAAACAACAACAACAACAACAACAACAAATTCTACTTAAATAAAAATTTGTAAATGACAAAATTAATTTGAGAGTCAGAATGCTATCCCTGATCCTTCCTGTCACCCTCTCTGTGTCCTGGACCACAATGATGTGAACTGAGTTACTCCACCATGCCCTCACCACCAGGATGGTCTGACCCCTCTGAAACCATGAGCCAAAATAAGCCCTTCTTCCCTTTAGTTATTCTGTCAGCTCTTTTGGTCACAGTGATGTAAAAATAACTAAGATAGAAAATTGGTACCAGAGAATTGGAGTCATTGCTGTAACCAAACATGATCATTAAGTGGTTATTAAGTAGTTTAAAGGAAGAATTTAGAAGAATTTGGAGATGCTAGAGAAGTTCTAGAATGCTCTAAGCAAAGCCTAATGGGTGATTTTGGTGGAGCTCAGACCAGAAGGCGGAGATAAACCAGATAGTCAAGAACAGGCTTGTGAAGTTTCAGATGGGAATACAGACTCTTACCGGGAAGTGGGCCAGAGGCCATTCCTGTTACATTCTGGCAATGGACTTGTCTATGCTGTCTCCATGTCCCAAAAATTTGTGAGAGGCTATGTGTAAAGGAATGCCTAATGAATTTAATGGAGGGAAATTTCAAACCAGCATTGCATTGAGGCTGTGACATAGTTGTTACTGGCTAATATTTCTGCCAGGTTTACACTGAGAACTGGGAACAGTTAATTATGATGCCCCTCATAAGTATTGAAGGATCTAAATTTTCTTAATAAGTATTAGCTCTTGTGGTGGTTCCTGTTTTCATTTCTGTGTACTATGCAGAAGATGGACAGTGGCCTGGTTGAAGATAGAGATAGATGGGCTTCAAGCCAAGAGATATTTTCATTTTTTTATTTTTAACTATAATAAAGTTAATTTAATTAATTTAATTAATTTTTGTTAATTTTAGTTATTAAATAATAAAACATTTATGAAGCACAGTGTATTTGACACATGTATTTAATGTGTATCAATTAAATCAGAGTAATTAGCATATCCATCAAGTCAAACATTTGTCATTTCTTTGTATTGGGAATATTCAAAATCTTCTCCCCTCACTAGTTTTGAAAAAGATACAGTATCAGGCTGGAGAGATGTCTCAGCAGTTAAGAGCACTGACTGCTCTTGTAGAAGACCCAGGTTGAATCCCAGCACCCACATGGCAGCTAACAACCACCCATAACTCCAGTTCCAGGGGATTCAAAGCCCTCTTCTATCCTTTGCTGGATATCCTTGCACAACACAGGTGCACTTGTATATATGCATGCATACACATAACATAAAAAGCAAAAATGTCTTTAAAAAGTAATAAACGGTATTATTGTCTTCAGCACCCTACTCTGCTAGAGATCACCAGAAGATACTCCGCCTATCTAACTGTACTGTCATCTCGAAAGGCGTTTTAAGGTGAAGAGAGGGAAAAATAAGATCGTAGGTGATGTGCTGAGGAGCAAGAAAAAGAGTCTGAGACCTGGCAGCAGTTCTCCTGGCAGTGGCTCTCTGATCCCTCCCTTTCACTCCTGCCCATCTCTGAACACGGGAGGGAGATTGAACCTGACTATCTCTGACTGGTTAGTCTTTCCAGCCAGGATGTGGTTGAGTTGGGGGAATAATGGAAATGCTACCCCCAAACCAAATACAAATTTACACATCTGATCTAAACACAAAGCCCAAGAACTCGGGAGTAAAAGGAGACAAATTCCTAGAGTGAGATTATGGGTTACTGTGATTTTCTCCACTGGATTATTTTCTAATTTCTGCAAAAAATGTGTTAGTTAATCAGAACAAAACATCATGCCTGATATACATATATGTATTATTCTGGTACTTTTTTGAAAGAAAGAACCCAAAGCTACAGATGTAACTGTAACTGCCAAGACCCGGCACCCAGGAAGCACCTGGACAGGAAAACTGTTTCCAATGCTCAAGGCTCAAGCCAGTAGCACCTCCTTGGACAAGAAAGAGAACAGAGCCTGAAAAAAATTCCAGGACCCAGGTTCAATTCCCAGCACCCACATGGCAGCTAACAACTGTCTGTTACTCCAGTTCCAGGGAATCTGATACCCTCTTTTGACCTCTGGGAGCATTGTACCACAAGGGTGCACTTAACACACATGCAGGCAAAACACATACATAAAATAAAAATAATAAATATTTTTTAAATGTGGGGGTTTTTTTGTAAAGTTTTTTATTGAATTTTTGTGTATTCCATACAGAACATCTTAATCAATCTTAATCATCTACCCCCTTCCCCATCGGCACCCTCCCATACCTCCCCCACTGGAATTCACACATTCTGTCATTTGTGTTAAGGCCTATCATGTCAAGTTAGTGTCCCCAGACATCCCTCGGTGCAAGTTCATCCACTGGGGTCTAGGCAGCCTTCAAGAAGGTCCCTCCCTTTAAGAAGACCAGCTCTTCCTCACCCAGCAGTGATCAGCTGCCAATAATTCTTTGACTAATGGGCTTAGTGCCAATTTCCACAGTTCTGTGCCAGGCTTTTGACCGCTTGAGTTTGGATAGGTCTTGTGCATGCTGACATCATTGCTGTAGGTTTATATGAACAAGGTCCCAGGAGCTTGTAGGACTCTATTTCCATATGGTCATGCACCTCCTCCCTGGTTCTTACAGTCTTTCTACCCCTTCTTCCTAAATGGTCCCTGAGCCCTGGATGGGTGGAGACTGTGTCTGCTGTCAGTCACAAGTATCTTGAGCCTGTCCACCTTCGGAGAAAGATGTGACTTCTTTAAGAGGGTCCAGGCAAGCACTCCTGTACTACCTCCCTGCACAGGCTGGTGATAACCAAGACAACGGACACAGGCTGGATTTCTTAAGGGTGAAGGTTCTGTGCTGGCTCTCTGATCTCCTGCAGCTTTGTTGGAACATTTAAGGTGGTACTCAGGATGCTCTCCAAGAAACCTGTAGGGAAGGAGGGTCATGTTTCACAAACAGCAAGTGGGCCGCAGCTGTAGTCTCCCTGAGACCGGAAGTGTGGGCGGAACCAGTCATTCCTCCGCTCCACCTCCGCGTTGCCTAGGGGACCGCTGGGCGTCCTGGGGCAAGACGGATCTAGGTGGACTTGAGCCTCGCTTGGTACAGGTGCGGTGGGGCCAACCTGGGATCAGCGCCTCTCTCCAAGTTGCTGGGCTTAGAGGTACGTGCAGGGGGCGCGGCGCGGGCTGCTTGCACACCTAGGAAGGGGAACAGGAGGAACAACTTGGGTCTCCGTGGTATACATTAGGCGCCTAATTATCGTGGCCAACATTAAGCCGCTCCTTTCCTTTGCGCCACTCGCTCGCCCTGCTTCTCCTGGAAGGTGGGGTGGGGTCTTAGAACCCGGGCTCAGCAGGGATTGGGGCGCCAGTCCCAGCGAACACCTTCGGTCGGTTGACTTTGTCGGGAAGAGCCAGGCAGAGTGGAGTGTGGACAATAACCCTGCAGCTCGAGGCTGGGAGTCGCGGTGGGACTGAAGCCTCGCGCGGAGTGGAGCCCGCGTCCTGCGGCCGCGGCCCATCTGAAGTGTTTCCTTGTGTTTCTCTCCTCTCCATGTCAAGTGTGAAACTAAGCCCGGCTGGATCGGGTGCTGCCTGGGACCTGCACCAGGGCGGCGGTCGGTTCCCAACCTCCGACTGGAAATTGAGATCAAGTCCAGACGCGTTTCCAGGACTGCGGCTCCCGGGCAGGGGCCTCGGACCAGCAGCCAAGATGTGCCCAGTAGGGAAAGTGACCCGGAAACCCAACGGCAAAGTCTACCAGCAGATCTTCGAGGCTGAGGTAGGCCATCTGCGGGTAGGCGCTGGGTGGGGAGGCCTCCTTGCAAAGTGCCTTGCTGGTGGCAGGTGCCCACACATCCTTCTAAGATGGCCAGTCAGTCCGAGGGGCCTGGAGCATCTGAAATGCTCACAATCCCCTCTCCTGCTTTCCATGGACTCAGGTGCAGCTGGTTCAATCCTTGGCAGTCACCAGGAAGCAGACTGCAGAGTGTTCTGTGACCCCCAAGCATGTCAAGACACCTATGATGAAGAAAGTGGAGGTTCCTGAAGGGGAAACAATGACACCTCGGCAGAGGAAGTGGGTGCACAGCCTCCCCAATGACTGGGTCACGGAAAACCCTGTTCTCTATAGGTGGGTTCTGTTATTCAACTACTCGGCCTTGCCGGTTCTTAGCCTTCAGAGACTCGAAAAGGGACTTTAAATATGCAAATCAGCCCATCTGGATGCTTGGGCAGCCCAGAGACTCCCAGTAGCTCTCCTAACCTGCTGTGCTCCCCAGTTCTTTCCACATCCCCTATTGTCGCCTACAGACCACAAAAGAGAGGCCATAGGCAGGACCTCCGGTTCTCCTAGGCTACCCAAGTGTCTCCCAGGGGCTGGGGAACAGGCAGGTGTGGGTTGAACCTCCTGTACTACCCCTCCAGCCCTTTCTCCCTCTGCTTCAAGTACTCAACTGTCAATCCCAGTCTTTTGCTGTCCTGGGCCTCTTCCCCTCTTGAGAGGAGTCTGCCTCAGCCACTGCTCCCCTCTTCCCTCAGCCTGCGTGTGTTGGAAGAGCCTCTGACTCCCTGACTCTCTCCAGGCCTTGGCAATCCAGTTGTTGCCTGTTCCAGCTTTCCAGCTGCTCTTGCTGAGGGTCCCTAGGCACTTTTGTCAACTCTACAGGATCTCTGGGCCTGTGCCTTCCAGTGCACCTCCTTGATTGTCTCTGCCCCTTTTCTGTCCTACTTTGTGAGTCAGAGCTCTCAGGCCTGCCCAGGCCATTGAGACTAGTTCCTCTAGACCCTTTGCAGGGCTGGCAAAGGCCAGACTGAGGTGAGCTGATGAATGACAGGGCTATAGTACTATCCTCCCCAAATCTCAGAGCAGGTGCTTGATTCCTCAAAGGCCTGTCTATTTGTATGCACATTCACCTAGGGTGGGGGGACACCAGCCCACAATGTATGAGTGGGGAGTTAGAGCTTCACTAGTGTAAACCAGTTCCCTGAATCCTCATGGCAAGTGGCTGAGAACTAGAGCTGACAGCAGATCTCTGTCCCATGGGCTCCTATGGGGCTCCTTTGGGTCAAGGACATTTGGAATAACAAGGTCTGAAAGATGCCCTCCTGCACAGCTGCCTGGCCCGCATCAGCCGCAGCGCAGGGCTGTAGTCTGGTCACTGCTAGGACTGCATGAGGATTCTTGAGGAAACAGCTAGGAAATACTGGTCACTGCGTCATGCAGGACCCTGAGGAACAGCAAATCATTATGAAGTTTCTATTGTGTTTGCTTCATAGATGGTGCATTATTCAAAGACTATTCCAGAGCTAATGTCACATCCAACCCCCCTCCCAGCTTCCCTGCTGAGATAGTTTGTTGGAAGATCTTAGCTCTCTCCACCTAGATCAAAGCCCTGTGGGTTTTGGTGTCGTGGGGTTGCCCTGAGAGTCCAGTTTCAGGCAGTGACTTCTCTACATTCCCTTCTGAAGGGGCTGTGAAATAATGTTCCTATGGCTTTAAAAATATGCTTGGCTGGCAGGCATGGTGGCGCATGCCTTTAATCCCAGCACTTGGGCGGCAGAGGCAGGCGGATCTTTGTGAGTTCGAGGCCAGCCTGGTCTACATAGTGAGTTACAGGACAGCTCGGGCTCCAAGGAGCTCCTGTCTCAAAAAAGACCAAAAAAAAAAAAAGCTTGGTAAATTTAGCCAAATCTTGGTCATGTATGTCTGGAGAGCTTTGTCTCATGAGAAAGTTTATGCACGAACGCCTGCTGAGGAGTTATCTGCGGAATGGTGGTACTCCCCTAGTTTCTCAGGAGACAGTTTTATCTCTCAAGTCATATTATGATGGTACTGTTACCCAGGTCATTATATTTTGCTTCACTACTATATTCTAGACTTTTTATTATTATCCACTGTTCTGTAAACATTCAACTGTAGCTCTAATAAGTATTAGTATAAAAACAGTTGCCTGTGCCTTTGGCATTTGAGTGTGGATGAAGAAATAAGAGTAAAGAAATAAAACTACACAAGTCGTCTGGTCTTTTTTCAGTTCCGTGTAATCCATTCAGGTCCTGTGGCTGCCCTCCTGGCAGCCACACCCTTCCCCTTCCCAGAAAATGGGGTTACACCTGCTGCCTCACAGGATGGGCTGCTGGAAGACCAAGGGACGGTGTATGCTGAGAGCTTCATTATTCACTGGGCTCCTCACTCCTTTGTGATCCTCAGTCTCCCATGTGGAAAATGGCTCCACTCACCACCCATATTGACCAGGGAAGAGTTTTGGGACTTGTGCCTGAGGCAGGGAGCTGACTCCCCATCCAGAGACATTTAGTGCCTGGAAGCAAATTCAGCCAGCATTGGTTGGGAGTCTGGGTACCGCCTTGAGGGCTCTCTGGAGTCAGAGGAGGTCTTGGGCCATTGGCACTGTCTATGCTGCCCTGGGTGGGTGTGGGGTAGGCTTACCCTTCTCCTCTGCTTGTTTCTTCAGGGAAAAGGAAAGAGCCAGGAAAGAAAAAGCGCGGGAGACTGAGAACACGATTGCTGCCCAGGAAGTGCAGGGCCTCATGGACAATGTGGGTAAGCCTCCCTCTGTCCAGACCCAAGGGCAGACCTGTCCTAAGAGAGCCCCCAGATGGTGGTGTCTGCTGGTGCTCCTCTGAGAGGCTCCTGCACCTTCAATGGGTCCTCTGCTCAGCCTCCTGGAAGTTTTCTTCTGAGCACTCCCCTTGGGCAGGGAGCTGGGGGCAATCAGTGCTGCTGCACAGTGGACCATTCCTAGGAAGTATCTATAGGATACTGTGTGTGATTTCACAGCAGCGCTTGTCAAGTAACTGATGTTCACTGTAGAAAAACAGAAGGTAAAACTACATGTCAGCAATAGTACCCTTCTCTAGCTAAGAACCCCCAGCCCAGCTCCAGGTGGCAGCCAGCTTCCCGCTTCCTATATAGACGAAGGGCAAAGCAGAGCAGGGGATGAGGAGGAGGGTGCAGGCCCAGGGCTTAGGGTCCAGGTCCACATCCTGCTCAGACATCTGCAACTTAGGTCTTTAACTATGTGCCAGTGTATGCTCATCACGGAAGGCTATTAACAGACCTTGTGTCCTAATGGGATCCTCAGGCATAATAAAGAGTTAGAATAATAATAACAGTACTGCCATGTGGTATGTGTACATTAGTATATATATATAGAATTACTGAAGATGGTTCCTCCCTTGTTCATGGTAGCTCATTTTAGCATAATTCAACCTCACAACGGCCAGATGTGTACCCAGAAACTATTCTGTTTTCTATTTTCAGTACAGATATTCAACATTTTAGCAAAACAGGCTTTCTGTTAGATGGTTTTGCCCAATTGTAGATTAACATGAGTGGTCTGAGCATTTTAAAGCAGGCTGGGCTAAACTTTGCTGCTCGGTAGGTCAGGTATATTAAATACATTTTTGACTTATAGTAGTTGCTATTTCTAATAGTTTTACCAGGTCATGGCACCATTGTAACTTTAAAATCATCTGTACATTAGTTGTACCTTTAAAACTTTCTTTGACAGAGTCTCCTATGTTGCCCAGGCTAGTCTCAAACTTGAGATTTTTTGCCTTAGCCTTCTCAGTGCTGTGATTACAGGTATACCACCATGCTCAGCTACAATTATTTTAAAGAAAACCATAATGAAAAAGAAAACCAATAAAAGAAAACCAATATCATTCTATATATACTATTTGAGAATTTTCCTCCAGTAGTTGTGTGTTTACTTATTTTGTGGTGGTTGGGGATGGGGGGCAGGTGTTGAACCCAGGGCCTCGCGCAGGTAGGCAAGCTTGCATTCTATCACTGAGCTGTACCTGCAGCCCCTCCCTCCTTGGCTGTGCATCTGACCTTGTTCCCTGTAGCACTCAAGTCTCCTTTGCATCTTTTCTCTTTATTCTTGAGTCTCTGCCACTGCTGGGCTGCCTTTGGGGTCCACCTTCTGAACCCAGGCTCCTGTGCAGGGGCTCTCTGCCTGCACAGTCCTCCCTGGGAGCCCTCCCTTCTTCTCCCCATGGGCTGATAGTCCCTGCTGTTGCTCTTCAGTTCCTGAAAAGATCAGCACCGCCAACCTTCAAGTGCAGGAAGAGCACAAGAGGAAGAAGTACCGGAAGGCACTGGCAAGCTTCCAGGAGGAGATCTCGGAAATCGGGATGGTGAGGCCCCACTCCTCTCTCCTTCCTGTTCTTATGGCATCCCTCAGGTGTGTGCTATTTCTCATCGCCTCCTCCTTCCTCCTCACTGGTGGGAGGGCCTCAGTGGCTCACCAAGACAGATGTAGATGGAATCAGAGGACATGTTCCAGTGGATTGTTACAAGAGCATGTTGTGAGCACTGGTTCCTTTAGCTCTTAGAACAGTGCTGTATCAAAGGCTATTACCAATCTTGCAGAGGAGCCTAGAGTCTTGCCTGACTAGGCATTGAAAGGGGCCAAGTCAGAACCCTGTTTGGGTCTGGCACCAAAGCCCAGCCTTTGACTGGCTGGCAGTTCTGCTGATGGGGTGGGGTCCAAGGATATACCCCATGAAAGTCCAACTCTAATGAGCCCTTACTCACTTTCCCATCGTCAGCTCCAAGTTATCTCTAGACTTCCTCTCTAGCCACCCTGGGGCCTGGAATGTTCCCTAGATAAGACCAGCGTTTGCCTTTCTGCTCTTCTCTGGGGCCCAGATTTCAGCTAACTTTCACTTCCTCGCCCGTCTTCTCTGACTAGTTGTCCTGTCTTGAATCTCACATGCTGGCTGTGTGCCCAAAGCACCAAGAGGAGGCTCCCAGCCTTGTCTTCACTGCATCCCAACCTATGCCAGCCCTACTGTCACTATGTGCCTCTCCACTTCCATTAAGCAACCTGAGCCTCATTTCCATAGCTGAAGTAAACTTGGCACACTGACACCTACTTTTCAGTTACTGTTTGTTGAGTGCCAACCATGGGCTAGGTCTGATGGTTGGGACCTAGCCATTGTGAGGAGAGAGGAAGTGGTGGAGGATGAAGGCGCCACACCAGTGTACTGCAGGGTGCCACATCCTCAGAATATGAGTTAACCAGCAATCCTTAACTCCCCAGATCCAAGTGATGATCATTCGTGAGACAGGATGGGGCCTGGCTCTTCCCCATTACGAGGAGGGTCCCCTCCAACCTGGGGTGTTGTTACTATGACCCTCACCCTCCTGGTCTGTTGCAGGAGATGGAACCTCTTATCTTAGAGAAAAGCGGACTTCTTTTGAAAAAGCTATCCAAGTCCAACGAAGAGGTTGACCAGCTTTTCAGAACAGTGGAAGGTGAAACCAACCTTGAGCGCTACACTATTGATGTACGGCTCCCCTAGTGGCCGGGCCTGCCGCCCCCTTTCTCTGCTTGCCTCTCCAGTGGCTCCTGGGTGACCCAGCTCCTCTCTGCAGACCCTGTTGGAGCTGTGGAATGAGGTGGCCAATATATTCCTGCAGCAGAAGCAAGAGATTAAGGACCTAGACCAATCACTGCTGTCCCTGGAGGTCTGCCGAGCCAACAAGGCAAGTTGGCTGTAGATGGGGCACCTTGTTGGCTTTCTCTTGCGAAGGCTGCGAGACACCTTTCTGTTTCCCGTTAGAGCTCCAGGAACCAAGAGTCACTCACAGGGGTACCTTATATTCTCCAGTTAAAGGATGTGTTGAAGAGATACGTGGACATCATAGAGAAGACATCCTACCTCATGCCACCCGACGTGTACAGGCTGATAGATAAAGAAGCCATGGTGAGTGGTGGTCTGTGGTGGGGAGAAGTAGCAGGACCCCAGAGTGCTTTGGGCCTGGGAGCTCAGGAGTGGTGGGCACCACATTTGTGATATTTCCAGGTAACTCGCATGGGCTGCTTTGGTTGGGAATAAAATCTTTGTGACCATAAGCATTTTCAATAGAATTCATCGTTAAGTGTATTTCCTGTCCCCCACCACCTAGCTGTACCCCCAACACAGAACCATTGTTTGCCCATCACTTACTGGGCTGTGTCCGGCTACTGTGTGCAGTGTCATAAATGCTACACTCTGGCATCACCCTCTTAAAGTTCCCTCCCCACTCAGCATCCCTAGCCTGCTCTGGTTTTCTATTCCTCCGGCCTCTCCTGCTGGACAGTGATCTCTGTGGCAGGACCACTCCTGCCTCATGGTTCTGTCCCCTGACTTCCAGACTCCTCTAACTGCTGTCCATGGTGGGAAGCAAGAAATTCAAGGTTATTTGTTTCTAGAACAAAGCTCAACCCCTCTGCTATGTGAAAGGACTCTTGCTTGAGCAGCCCAAAGATACATTTTGCTCTTGTCGGTTTCTTGCACTTATGCAAACTGAGCTTGCCCTCAGCTCTAAAATGAAGATAACAGCATCTCCTGGCAGGACTTGTTTGGAGGATGGTAATAGAAGTCTTGGAAATAGCAGCTGTCTGTATTTTAAAATATTAAAACTTAAAAAAATTGTGTGTGTGTGTGTGTGTGTGTGCACACACGCACACATGCCACATATGTATGGGTGCCTGTGTGTGTGTGTGTGTGTGTGTGTGTGTGTGCGCACACGCACACATGCCACATATGTATGGGTGCCCACGGAGGCCAGAAGAAGGTATTGGATCCCCTGGAGCTGGAGTTACAAGCAGTTATAAATCAACTGATATGGTTGCTGGGAACCAACTCAGGTCCTCTGGAAGAGCAGCAAGTTCACTTAACTACTAAGTCACTTCTCCAGCCCCTAAATTTTAAAAATTAGCATACTAACATACTAAAGATTAGGCTTCATTAGGGCATTTTTTAAAATAATCTGTTTTGCGAATCCTCCTTCCGCCCCTCTCCCCGCTCCTTGTCCCCTTGTCCCCTTCCACCCCCAGTAGCTTCTTTTCTGTGTTCATGTTACATGTTCTACTGTCCTCTCCCCGTCCCCTTCTGTGACATCTTTTTTCTCCTTTTGTGGCCCCTTTCTAGTTTCATAATCTGTACTCACATTCACACCCACATGAATACATCAAGCCGAACACATACAAACATTGGGTTAGGAACCGCATTTGAGAGAGAATATGCAATCTTTGTCTTTCTGAATCTGGGTCACTTCATTTTTATTTATTTATTATTTATTTATTTATTTATTTATTTATTTATTATATATTTTTGGTTTTCTGAGACAGTCTCCCTGTAGCCCCAACTGGCATGGAGCTCACTATGTAAACCAGGCTGTCCTTGATCTCACAGAGATCTGCCTGCCTCTGCCTTCTGAGTGTTGGGATTAAAGATGTGTGCCACCACACCTAGCCCCAACTTCACTTTTTATAGTAATTTCCACATTTTTGGCAGCTGTCTTTTGAGATAAGTGAGCATCCTAAAGTCTAGGCCTTGTGTAGATCTGGAGAGCAGGGGTCTTCGGTCTGGAATAGGGCTTGGCTCTACACGTCTTCCCGGTACTTACTCCCCTCTCTGCGGCAACACTAACCTGCACCGTGGGCATTTATTTCATCAAGTTTCACAAAACCCCTGTGCCTGTGTCATAGCTTTATCCTCACCACATGGCTGCAGACCCGGAGGGCAAGAAAATCAGCTACCTAGAAGGCTTGGGAAATGGGTGGCTACTCTTATTTTAGACGCAGAGTTGATAAAAGGTAGGGCTGTACCCTGCAGTAAGGAATTGTCCCCATCCTGTGCCAGAGAATGGCCCCGTCTAGAGCCCTGCCCACCTATGACCACAGGCCATGAACCAGGCTCTCCTGAGCAATCAGAGGGCCATCGTTCAGCTGTTTGTCAACCTGACTGAGGCCACCCTGCAGCAGGAACGTGACAGCCACCACCGCTGGCAGGGCCTGGTGAATGCCTGGAAGATTCTCAAGAAAGAGTCCCTGAAGCAGAGCTTCAGGTCAGTGGTGAACCCCTGCCTTCTTCGTTACTTAAAAATGCTGATGTTCTCTATGCCTTTGCTTAAAGTTAGAAATAGACAAAAGCATCAAAAAAGAGTCAGCACTATAATATTTGGGCACATTTTCTCTCAGGCATTTTTAAACCCACAGAGTACAACACAGTTTTTTATCTCATTTTTTTCCATGAATATTATCGTGACCATTCTCTGAGCTCACTATGAATTACTGGAAAGCATTCATGTGATTATCTGTATAATTCCCATTCTATATTAGTTATAATCTAGGGCGCTGAGTCTGGGAGGACAGACATCTCTCAGGCGGATACCACCAACATTTTAGGAAGATGGTTCCTAAACAGGGAAGAGAAACAGGGAAGAGAGGGCCCATCTCTGCACTTCCTCTATCAAGTAGGGATTTTGCTGCAGAAGGAAAAGAGGCTAGGCTCCATCTTGCCTTTCCACGTGACCTTGACTAAGTCCCTGAACATTCCAAGGCTTCTTAAGGGGCTTGGGGAGGTCGGCGGGGTGGGGGTGGGGGGATCTCAGTGATTACGCAGGGCAATAAAATTGTCTATGAAAACAGCCACCTGGGCCTAGGATTGAGACTGTCACAAAAGTCAGCAGATGCCAGCTGCAGTGGCCAAGGAAAAGATGGCTTTTCCTTGACACTTCATGAGCCAGGGTATGGGGCTCAGAGCTTTGCCCATCATCTCACAACCCCAGCAAAGAGGATGCTGTCATTAGCTCCATGTTACAGATGAAGAATCCGAGGCTCAGAGTGGGACAGGGACTTGTCCCAGGTCACAGAGGAGACAGCCAGGACCACACAGGATCTGAGACTGCTGGTCTCAAGTTTGAGGTGGTCAGATGTTCTTCCTGCACCGCCCCCACCTTCCTCCCCATGGGAGGCCCAGGTGGGGTGGTGTAAGGCAGGACTGTGTGACTGCAGGTGCCTGCCTGAGTCTTCTCACTTCTTCCCTCCATGGTGCTGGGTGTGGCTGGCCAGTGAGTTCATGGCTAGCGAGGATATCCAGACGCCTCCGATCATACAGAAGGAGTTGGAGGAAATGCTGAAGAACCAGCACATCCTGCAGCGAGCACGGTTGGATCACCTCTACACCATCTGGTACCATGTGCAGGACAGGCCTCCGGAGTCAGGACCTTCCAGGGTCCAGTATGGCCTAGCCCATCCCTAATTCATCCTCCAGACCCAAATCCCCTTCTGGTGCTTGAGTACTGGGCTGGCCACCTCAGTGGTTCACCTTGCCTAAGGGCGAGAAAAGGGCTCATTTTGCTGTGGAAAGCAGCTTAGATCAGTCCTGCCAAAGAGCTTGCCAGGAAGCAGTGGCCAGGGGTGAGGGGTGAGGGAAGAGAATCCATTATCATGATAAGAAGAAACATTGGGCGGGGATTTGGGCCTTGTCCTGAGGCATTTGGAGGTGTGGATGTAAGGAAGTCACACTGGATTGGAGGGAGGCTGCTGTCACATAGATCCCTGTCAGAGGCCCCTCAGAGAGCCAGCTTCCTCTTCTAAATGGCAAGCTTGTGACTATTGAAAAGCCTTTTTGTGAGGTCTGTTTTGGCCACCAGGAGTCCCCAGCAGGTTCCTTAGCTTCTTCAGTATTTAGTTGACAGTAGGTTTTACAAAGACGCCACCCATTTTGGTAAGTTTTGTGCATGTGTGGCTTACCTGTCATCTCTTCTTTCCTCAGTGACCTCCTGCCTCCCAATTACAGCAAAACCCAGCTGACAGAGTGGTACAATTCTCTCACCTCCCTCAACAAGCAGCTGGGTGAGTAGTGTCTGTGGGATTCTCAGAACTTTCCAGAACTCCATCACAGGAAAGAGGGAGGGCTGTGGAGGAAGAAGTGAGCTCCAGGACCTCTTCCTCCTCTACTCCCTGCCCAGTCTACAGCCTTGCCAGTCACACATTCTGACCTATGACCCCTGACGTGGAGCAAAGACAGCTCCTCTGAACACCTCTTAGGATGGCACAATGGCCATGTCTTGAGAGTCTTGAAGTCAGAAACAAGGGGCTAACGCCCAGCCCTGCTCCATCCTGTGTGACTTGGGGAAGTCAAGGCATCTCATGGCCTTCAATGTCCTCCTCCAAAAAATAGGGAGTAGTAACAGCCCCTACCTTATGGACTGATGTTCAGGTCATAAGTCAGTGCCTGGCTCACACCAAGAGAGTGCCGTCATAAATGGTAACTGTTTAGAATACTCTGCATCAAGGGTGTCAGGTGACAGCCCATGGCCCACTGGCCTGATTTGGAAATACGTTCCAGGACACGGACATGTGTGTTTGTTTACACACTCGCTGACTGATTGGTCATTGTAACAGAGATAGTAATGTCCACAAAGTTAAAATCATTGACTCTTGATCACCTCATAGAAAAAGTGTGCCAAGCCTTGCTTCAGAAAACACAATTTTCCATCTTTGAGGCTCACGGCAACCCAGTGAGGTCAGTGGCAGTGTACTAGAAACTTTTGTGTCATTGTGACAGAAGATGACAAAACGACTCAAGAGAGGAGAGATTTATTTTGGTTCATGGTTTTAGAGGATTTCAGTCCTTTATGGAGGCAAAGGCATGGCTGCATTCAGGGTGGTGGGAGTCTGTAGCGGGACTCATACATCGTAGCCACCAGGAAGCAAAGAAGGCATTTGAACCAGGGACAGGGCTATGAGCTTCAAAATTCCCTCATGACCTACTTCTGCCCCACCTCCTCAAGGTTCCACAGCCTTCCAAAATAGCGCCACCAGGTGGTGAGCAAGTATTCTAAACACGGGAATCAAAACCCTTGCTAGTATCTTTATAAACTAGAGGAAGATTCCCGGAGCCTAACGCTCCTTGTAGAGATGGGCTCATCTTATAAGGTCATTCATTATCTTGGGGTGCTAGGAACTCTGTGAGGAGGGAGATGCCAGTCCCTGACCCGAATAGAGGCCTCTGACCAAACTGCACTAAACAGCCTTCAACATGGAGGTGCTTTGATGGGAAAAAGCTGCTTCCCTTTGCAAAGGGGTCACCTCTCTAATTCTCCCTTCCTCCTGGGGGAGCTGCTGACCTGTTTTGTTTTCTGCCCATGGAGACAACTACCATATGGAGTGCATGATGCTCATCCACTTCCTGTATGAGAAGATCTGGCAAGAATGTCTATTGCGAGTGCAGGATTGCAAGGTGGGCCCCCTTCTCTGCAAGCCTAGGAAGAGAGCATGACGTGCTGGAACCCATTGTCACACACACACACACACACACACACACACACACACACACACAGCCTTCTCTGCCTCCCCCACACTCTTCAGTAGTGATCCAGGTTTTTCTTCCTCTCAGGGACCAGGTGCTGTGGGTTATGGGAATTCGGGTTCACTCTATCTGGCTGCCCCTGCCATCCTCCAGGCATAGCTCAGCATTTCTTCCTCTAGAAGTTGTGAGATGGAGTTGTACCTTCTCAGGCTGCCTGTCTACACTGTTGACTGAATCCTGCATAACAGGATGTTCACAATGGAAGCCACATCCTCAGGGTTACTCTGATGCCCTGTAGCCTCACCAGTCTCTGCCTCACCAGCCTTGTAGCAGTGTGAAACAACATGTTTTCTCCCAACAGTGACCAACAGTGACAGGTTTTCTGGGTTGCAGGAAATAGTTTATCAAAATATCCCGTTTGCCTCCTTGGTAAACTGCTAAGGTGAAAACCCTACCAACTTAGTCATTCTGAAAAGTACTGAGCCGTGAAGGCCCCGTTACTGTCCACGGGGAGGTACCTCCTACTCCCAAGCCATCTCTGCCTCTGGCTGGCGTCACTTTTCACCCTGCCCACCCAGAAACAGAATGAAGGGGAACCCTGTGGGGGCCCCAAAGAAGGCGATTGATAACCAAAGGTGTCCACAGCCCTAAGCCAGGCTTTGCCCACAGAACCAGCTGCTGGACTGGAAGGCCTTCTCTGAGGCCGAGGCAGAGAGCCTGGTGAACCCAACCTTCTTCCAGATGGTGGGCGCATTCCAGAGCAAAGTGGAGAAGGAACTGGAGATCCTGGATGTACGTTCATGCATGGTGGGGACCCCTGAGGTGGGGCACATCACCCCAGGGCTGTAAAGATCCTGGAAGTCTGGGATACTCCTAATGTGTTCACTCCCTGGCCTTTACCAGACCCTCTTTGCATAGGTCTCCTGTGCTAATCACACTAGACTCATCCCCTGGGTCCTTGAAAGCACCCTGACATTGGTGCTATGCAGACCCAGGGAAACCATTTAGTCCACAAGTGCACCTGAGACACTACTGACACGGTGGTGAGGTCTGTGGAGGGCGAGGAGCCCCCAGCCACAAAAGGCTTGAAGTCTTTTACCCCCCTGCGAAGGGCCAGGTAGTGACTGTCTTCTCTGGGCCATTAGGTCCCTGTCACAACCTGTCACCTCTGTATCCCTAAGCAGTGCAGAAACAAAAGATGTGGCTGGGTTCCAACAGCGTTACTAGACACAGATTTGAAGGTGGTCTAAATTTTGTGTCACTTTTGTTTTTCTTTCTTTTTTTTTCATCACTTTTGATTTTTTTCAACCATTTAAAAATTAGAAAATCTGGGCTTACTCACAAGTACAAACAAAAACAGATGGAGGACCAAATTTAGCCTTCAGGTTACAGCTCGCCAACCCCTGTTCCAAGTGAGCACACATAACCCATGCATTTTGTGTTGTGCTGGCCATTGACCCCAGGACCACATATATGCTAAGAAAGCCCTCTACCATTGAGCCATAGCCCCAGTCCTGGCATGTAGTTTTTAAAAGATGAGGTGGTACATGAAGTTTTTTTTTAAATTTTAATTTTATGTGTATAAGTGTTTTGCCTACACACAATGTGTGTGCAATGCCCGTGGAGGCCAGAAGAGGGCATAGGGTCCCCTGGCACTGGACTTATGGATGGTTGTTAGTGGCCATGTGGGTGCTGGGAACTGAACCTGGGTCCTCTGAAAGTACAGTCAGTGTTCTTAACCACTCAGTCATCTCTGAGTCATAAAGCTTTAACAGCAAGTGTGTGGAGTTGGACCCTGATGTTGTGAGTTGAGGCATTCTAGAGAAAGAAACCCAGGCTAAAGATGGGTGTGGTAATCTTATCTCATGGAAGGAAGGCCAGGATCCCAGGTGGGTCCCAGAGCTGACTTTGAGGAGTAGTGCCCGGGCAGTGACTTCTGTCCTTGGAGACATGGACCCTGTGATGGGCTCTCCTCTAGGTCTGGGCCTCTCTGCCCTCAGGGTAACCTCAGTGTTCTACCACGGCAGAGCAACTTTGAGGTGTTGGCCAAGCAGATGGAATGGCAGAGCTCAGACCTCTTCAGGTACTTCCAGGAGGCTGTGAATCTGTGGGAGGGACACCAGAACGTGCTGTTGGTACAGGAGATGGACCTGGAGAAGAGGATCCAGCAGCACCGGCAGAAGCACAACCTGGAGAACCAGGTGCCCCATGCCCCAGGAAACCCCAGTGGATAGTGACAGGCTGTACTCAGATGACAGACTGCCCAGGGCCAGGCCAGGGAACACAATCAATTTTCAGATAAAAAACAAAACAAAACAAACAATAACAAAAAAAACACAAATCAACTGAACAAAACACCTTAAACAAAAATGAACGAAAAACAGATTCCAGACTCAAATGGAAAACCTTAAATTATAAAACATGTGCAGAGGGAAAGACTGAGTCTGCCTGGATTGTGTGAGCAGATGAGCTGACAAAGAAAATCTTAAACCAGATCACAGCTGTGGGGTGGGTCTTGGGAATCAAACCTGTCTGTAAGAGTATACACAAGAGAGACAGACTGACTGATCAACTGAGAGATATTCTGAGTGGTTAAAATAACATAATGAGGGATGGTGGATCCCTGAATCATAAGGTGGCAAGAAAGGCTCCCAAGAATGCCTGTATACACACATACAAACAGAGAGAGAGAGAGAGAGAGAGAGAGAGAGAGAGAGACGAGAGAGAGAGAGAGACAGAGACAGAGACAGAGAGACAGAGACAGAGAGAAACAGAGACAGAGACAGAGTGAAATAAAATTAACCTTTTTAAAAATAATATGGTCGCCAGGGGTGGTGGCACACACCTTTAATCCCAGCTATAGGAAGACAGAGGCAGGCAGATCCCTGTGAGTTCAAGACCAGCCTCATCTACATAGTGAGTTCTAGAACAGCTAGGGCTACAGGGAGACCTTGTCTCACTAGTACCAAATAATAATAATAATAATAATAATAATAATAATGTCAAAGTATGATTTCATGACTCCAAAGTGCATTTTTAAGATTCATATTTTGTTTTAAAGACATTTATATTGATTCTTTGAGAATTTCATACATATATTTGACCATATTCAGACACCCTCCATCTCCACCCCACCCTAGTACCCTTTTGACTTCATGTCCTCTATTATTATTATTTTTTTTTTTTTAAAGGCCTATTACATCTAATTTATGTCCCCTGGGTATGGGGTCCATCCCTTAGAGTCTGGTCAACCTGCGAGGCATCACACAAAGAAAACTGACTCTCTCTCTCCCAGAAGCTATCAATTGCCAATAGAACCACAGTGAGGGCTGGGGCTTCTTGCCCACTTCATCTGCATTGGGTTTTTGTCTGGCTTGGCTTGCATGTTGTCACATGCATTGTGGGTTCATATGTGCAACTACCCTGTGGTGTCCAAACAACAGTTTCCTTGTATTCATCTACCATCTTTGACCCTTACAATTTTTCTTCCCCCTCCTCTACAATGATCCTCAAGCCTTGGGAGGAGAAGATATGATATAGGAGCCCCATTTAAGGCTGAGCACTCTGCAGTCTCTTATTTTCTACACATTGACCACTTGTGGGTCTCTGTGTTAATCTCTATCTGCTGTAAAAAGAAACTTTTCTGGTTAGAGTTGAGAGATGCATTAATCTATGGATATAACAATAAGTCATTAGGATCCTATTTAATACTGTCTGTTTAGCAGAATAATAGTAATATGTTCTCCACTATGGCCTATGACCTGTCTAACTATAGGTTCTTGGTCTTAATAACAGTTTCAATGATCCATCCTGTGAAAGTGGGCCTTAAATCCTATCAGAAGGTAGTTGCTTACTCCCATAGCATTCATGTCACAGCTGCACAGGGGACATATCTTACCAGGCCAGGCATTATTTTATGTGTATGAGTGTTTGCCTGCATGTATGTATGTGTACCGTGTGTGCACCTGGTGCCTATGGAGGCCAGAGGAGAGTATCTTCTGACCCCCTGAAGTTACAGGTGCTTGTGAGCCACTGTATAGGTGCTGAGAACCAAACCTGGGTCCTCAACAAGAGCAGCAAGTGCTCTTAACTGTTGAGCCATCTCTCCTGCCCCAAGAATGCATTTTGTTCATAGTGTTCAAAAAGAATAAAGTGACAAATCTCCCAGAGAGAATGCTTAATAGACAGGTACACTGCCCTCACGATGAACACCAGAATTATTAATGTGCAATTACTCAAGTAGGAGGGAAGCAAGCCCCTGCAGGAAGTAAAATCTAAAGACTAAGGCAACCCTTTTCATGAGTGGTTTCTCAGGGAGAAACTGGCTAGACTTCCAATTTAACAGGTAAGGTCACTTGGTGGTGTTCAAGGCTCTATAACAGGAACAACAGAGCATGTGTATGTCAGTCACCTACCCCCATAGATCAGCCAGCCCCAGCCCTGCCTGCTTTCACAGATGGGGGCTCAGGGTGTACAAACTCAGCATACAATGTCAAGTATGGCTGGTAAGGAGCAGCTGCTTCAGGAATGTGTAGCAGAGGAAGGTGCAGGGTGCAAGGGAAATGTCCTGGACGTGTCCTATCCAAGCTGGGTCCTCAGGGAGCAAAATGGGCATGAAAGAACATGCCAGGAATAGAGGAGAGCCCAGAAGCCTGTGCCTGAGAGAGCAAGGGCGGTTACAAACTTGATGCCCCCTCCCACCCCTGTTGTAGAAAGGAAATCCCTGGCCTGTGCCAGTTGCCTAGACCTCAGTTCCAGAGGCAGGGTCTCTGCATGTCACTCACATTCTGCAAGCTCTGGATGCTCATGCTTGCTCCTCTTGTTTTGGGAGTGGCTGCCAGGACCAGGAGGTCCAACTCGACAAGCTCCTAGACCAACTGAGGCAGCAAAGTCAAGAAGAGACGCTGAAGACACATTTGGAAAAGGCCAAGAATTTCCTGAAAAGCATGAAATCCAGGTAAGCTGACCAGACCTCAGAAGATACAAAGGGATGACTGGATTCACAGTCAAGTTTATACCAGCCTGCACAGGAGACCAGGGGCATATCCAGCAAACTCGGCTTAAAGCCATGACCCCAGTGTTGAGGAACATCGCTGGCCTCTGCTGTCTGCCAGGGACTGACAGAATTTCCCAGGGAGAATTTTGGAAAGTTTGTAGTGAGGAGTTTTAAGACAATGTAGTTTAAAGGTCAAGAACTTTGGCTCCCCCTTTTAAAAGTGTAGACATGCGCACTCTTTGTTAAAGAGAGGAAAAAAAGTCAACCCTGCAAACATTCATTCCTGCACAACTATTCCCTTGTATGAGCCTTTATACACACACATGCACATATACAGTGTTTTTAAAATAGGGGATGAGTTATAGAACACAAATTGTTCTGGGACTAAAGCTGTATTTCAGTCTTTAAGTGATCATGTGGAATTTATTAATATAGATGCTTGATCACGAGTTAACTATCTTGTGATTAGCTTGTCTCCATTGGTTCCAGTTTCTTGGTACAGTATCATAAACAGTTCTCTGCGAACTGCCTATTTGTGTGCCTATATACAACTAATTCTGTAAAGACCATTCACCAAAATAGAATCACCCTCCAACTGATTGCAGTACTTAAATGCAAAAGTATAAAAGTATAACTAAGTAAACTCCGGAGCCTTGTTCACCCTCCCCGAAAAAGAGATGAAATGTATGAGTCTTATGGTGTTTGAGGATTTGATGGGATCATGTAGATAAAGTTGAAAGACAGGACCATGGGCAAGAAAAGTGAGCCCATTCTATAGGCAGAAAACTCATGTGCTTCCCAGATTTCCTACAAGAGCATGTATTCCTTGTATGATCAGAAAAATAGTAAAAGAACCGGAGGACTGTCCATATGAAAAGAACAGCACACAGCGGCTCTGTGCAATGCTAATCACCAGATGGAGGCCCCAGGGCATGGCTCCTGGTTAGGCTCTCCCACAATCAGCAGAAATCCCCTCACACAGTCGTTTCACCTCCCTCCTTCCCAGGTATGAGTGTTTTCACACCCTTCTGACCAAGGAAGTGATGGAGTACCCAGGGATCATTCTGAAAGAACTCAACTGCTACAGCTTCACCCTCAGTCGACATTTTTTCATCCGTGAAATCTTTGAACAGGTATCCATAAGAATAGTAGATCCTGGCCACCCCCAAAGTAGAAAGGGGACAGTCAACATCCTATCTGATCTGCCTAGATGTTTGGACACTATCCCTAATTCTGCAGAGTGCAAATCCATGTCAGGATACCGAGGAGAAAGAGCATGAAAAAAAAGACCATTTCTGTTTCAGTTTAAAAGGGGTTGATAGGGCCTAGGAAGATTGCTCAATGGATAAAGTGCTTGCTGTGCAAGTATGAGGACCTGAGTTCAAGTTCTCAGAACTCACATAAAGCCAGGCTCAATAGCACATGACTATAGTTCCAGCACTCCTATGGGAAGATGGGAGGCAGAGAAGGAGACTCCCCAGAAGTTTGGAGCCAGCTAGGCTGGTGTGCGCAGCAGTGAACAATAAAAGACAGACCCTGTCTCACACAAAGTGGAAGGCAAGGACTGACACCTGAGGTTGTCTCTGACCTCACACATGTGTTATGGCACATGTAGACACATACATGCCAGGGGGTTAAGACTCCAACTTTATATGGACTATGTAATGAAAATGAACAGGCTAATTTAATTCCTATGATGCATTGAGTTCCATTCATCATGCTAGCACTGCCACATGATTCTGCTAAAATTAAACTCTGACCTGCTCACTCTCCAGGTGTCCCTCATCAGTTCTATAGACCCATCAAAATCAACTCACCCAGGATCAAAATCAGGCTGTCTGTCCCCATGCAACACTCAGAGCAGTGGATTACTATCCCTCTGCCCATCCTGCAACTTAAAAAAAAAAAAAAAATTCTACTTTCTCTAGTTTACTTCTTAAACTGTGCCAGAAAGAGCTTTGATTCTTTTACCACCCAGGGTTTACTATAAGGGTTTGATGATCTGCTTGGAATTAAGAAAAACTGGTTGCTTGGACTGGGAGACACCCTGATTGCCCCCAATGAATGAAGCTAGTCAGGGCTTGCATCAGATCTAGGGTAAAAAAGACCTTTATACCTAAAGAGAATCAATGCCTTAGAAGCAGCACACTGGAAGCTAGAGAGATGGCGATGGAGCGATGGTTAAGTGGTTAAGAGCACTGACTGCTCTTGCAAAGGACCCAGGTTCAGTTCCCAGCACCCACATGGTGGCTAACAACCATCTGTAACTATAGTTCCAGGGGATCCAACACAGTCTTCTGACCTCCACAGGCACTGCACAACATGGGTGCACTTACGTACATGCAGGCAATACACTCATACACATAAAATAAAAATAATAAAATGTATAAAGAAGAAAGAAGCAGCACTCTGGAGAAAGGTACTGTTGATCCTTTAGTGACTTGTTTTATTTTGATTTTTTCCTTGTAGAACTTATCCGGGGAAGTGATTTTCAAATTCAGGCAACCAGGTAACACTTTCACAATTCAAGACCAGGTTTCCCTGTCATCACTCTTTGCACCTGTGGGTTGGGAGCTCAATCCAGGCAATGGTGTCATTGTCTCTGCTTGTGCTTTCATATTGGTCACACAGAAGCGCATGAAAAGCGCTTCCTGGAAAGGATGAAGAAACGGAAGAAAAAGAAAAGGGCAAGAGTGGAAATAAGCCAGGTTGAAGAAAGCGTAAGTCAAGAGACAAGCTCTGAGATGCCAGCAGAAGAGACCGAAGAAGAAAAATGTCAAGGAACAGAGTTCTCTGTGACTGAAGAGGTACTGAGTGAGGGGGGCAAGTCCCCACAGAGTAACCAGATGGATGAACCCAGAGTCTACTTTCTTCAAGAATCAGAAGAAATGCAGGGTGACAGAGAGAATTTCTCAGAAACTTCCCAGGACCCAGAAAATGTGAAGGTTCAAGAAATGAAGGAGGAGGAGGAGGTAGAAGAGGAGGAGAAAGATGAGGATGAGGATGAGGAGGACAAGAAGGAGAAAGAGGAGGAGGAGAAGGAGGAGAAGGAAGGAGAGAAGGAAGAGGAGGAGAAAGAGGAGGAACAGGAGGAACAGGAGGAGGAAGAGGAAGAGGAGGAAATGAATGAGGATGACAAGGATGAAGACCAAGAGGCCTTTTTTATGGGTCAGGTAAGGCAGAAACCTGCTCATGGCTGAGTATGAAGAAAGTTTGCTGTATGCATTTTGTATATAGCCCTCATAAAAGTCAGGGTCCCCAAGAGCCCCATCTCCACAGAGAACTACAACAGTATGTCTTTTTTTTTTTTTTTTAATCAACAAGGATCCAATTCTTCCTTCACAACAATGATTTGTAAAACTTGTTTCTTCTCCTTATGTACCTTGCAGCCTTCTCCGGAGTCACCCCCTCACATTCCTCCCCAGGGTGTCTTTCTCAGCTCTTCTTTATTACACAGATCACCTCAGTTTCTCCTACTTCACCCATTCTCTCTTCATGTTCACTGGCTGTGTAACATGAAATATGCAGGCAAAGTTCCCTGCAATGGTTAGTTTTGTCCACTTGACACAACATAGAATCACCTAGGAAGACCCTCAGTGACGCATTGTCTGCATCAACTTGGCCTATGGGCATATCTGTTGGAGATTGTCTAAAGTTCATTGATGTGGGGAGACCCAGCCCACTGTGGGCAGCACCATTCCCTAGGCAGGAGGTCTTCAGCCACATAAGAATAGAGAAATTGAGCTGAGCACAAGCAAGTGAGCATGTCTGCATCCATCTCTCTCTGCTCTTGACTGTGACTGAGGCATGGCTGGCTCTTCAAGCTCCTGCTGCCCTGACTTCCCTTCAAATGATAGACGGTAACCTGGAATTATGAGCTAAAATAAACCCTTTCTCCCCCAAGTTGCTTTTTGTCAGGGTATTTTATTTATCACAGCACCAGAAATGAAATTAGGACACTCCCTTTTGAAGGCTGGCAAACTCATTTTAATAGAACTTGTCCTCAAAACACATGCAGACTCATAAAACCAAAGCTTGAATTCCATAGTGATAGAATAGCAAAAGACTTATTTCCTATATTTCTGTGGAGACTTCTTTTTGAGCAAGAATCCCAAACTCAAATGTTTACATGTGTGTTATTGGGAAAAAAACAAACAAAATAAAACAAAAAACAAGTGATAAAAAACGGTGCAAAACAGCCCAGCCAAAGATGAGCCACATGTTTGCTGATGTTTCAATAGAAATCAGGGACCAAGAGTTCTCCCATTTTAAAACCACTGTGGGGCTGAGAATATAGCTCAGTGGTAAAATGTTTGCCAACCATACAAAGAGCCCTGGGTTCCATCTCCAGGTTTGCAAACAAAAATAAGTACAAAGTACTCAGTGTGGAGGGAGAGGAGGTTATGGGGAACAATTATAGGCAATTTGGTCCACAAGTTTACAATCTGTGATGTCAAGTGTTGATTCTAAAGTCTTATTCCCTGTATAGGCTGAAGGCAGGGAAGAGAGCCTGGAGGAGACGTCCAATGAAGAAATGGAGTTCTTCACAACCACAAGTGGAAACACTTACTTTGCCTTCCTTTCCCTGGAAGAGGAACAGAAGATGCACAGAAGGCCCCACTTGCACTTTGCTGTGCTCCTCCATGACCCTTTCAGTGCCAAGTACATAGAACAAGTGATTATTCCTCAGAAGCTCATCTTAAAGGTTAAGAAACAGTGAGTAGAAAACCCTTGGACTCTCATTCTCTTGCTTTATTTATGAGGTGTTATATCAAAAGATTAGTTTTAGCTAAAAGATTAAAAATGGAGGAAACTGAAAAGGGTAGGGGGAAGAAGCAATGGAAAAATAGCCAGTGTCCCAGAATGCTTCACAGACGTGGTTGTCATTGGTGGGATGATGGCCTGCACCCTCCCAGGATGCTGTGATGACCTGGGCCTTCATAGAAACACTTTTCTCTGTCATCCCCCTCTGGATTCTAATTCCTAATCCATCCATGATTTAAGTTTTCTTTCACTTTGTAAAAGATTTATTTTTATTTTACATGTATGCATGTTTGCTTACATGTATGTAAATGTGTCACATACATGCCTAGTGCCTCTGGAGGCCAGAAGAAGGTGTTGGATCCCCTAGAACTGGTGTTGTGGATGATCATGAACCCATATGTGGGTGCTGGAAATCAAACCTGGGTCCTCTGCAGGAGCGGGGAGTGCTCTTAACTGCTGAGCCATCTCTCCAGCCCCTAAAGTTTTTATTTAAAAATTCTATAGATATAAACCACAGGTATCTACATCTTGTGTGGCATTTTGTATGGATCAACACAGTCATTGAAGAAACTAGAAAAGGGACAAGGAGCAATGAGGAAACGAACCATAATCTTTTCTTAAAGACTATGTAACCCTTTGGATCCCAGGCTGGTCTGGAACTCATAATCCTCAGCCCTGAACTGGATTGCAGGATTACAGATATAAGCCTGGTCTGATACCTAATCTTAGCACTGAAAATATACCTCTCCTAACCTCCATGTTTCTGGGCCTTTGTGTTAGAGTTTGGACCAAATTTGGCTTTTGAATGCCACTTCCTTTGCCCTCCTGCCTTATAACCAGGATTCATCAGCTAGTGCTCACCTGGCTGGTCCATGGGGGCAGGGGCCAGAGGCAGGGAGCAGGAAGTAGGAAGAATAATGTCAGTTTCTGGGTTTTTCCTCCTGCACCACAGCACCATCCCACTTCTAAAATGTCATGCTCCTCCTTCCTCCACACAAGTGATCACCTCTCCTCTCCATAGCCATAGCACAAAGATCTAAGGGTCCCTGCAAGAGTTGTTATTTATGGAGCATGTTTAATCCACTTGGTAGGAAGTAACTGCATTTTACAGATGAAGAAAATGAAGCTTATAGCCTATAGCTAGCCACTTGTCCAGATCTTCCAAGATCAAGGATATGAATACTGACCATATAATTCTGGAGTCTGATGCCAACCACTGTGCCATCTGGCTTTGTGACTAACCACAAAGAAAGTTCTGAGTCCAACTGGTAGAATTTTCTTATTGAAGGATAGTATGCATACCGAAAAGTCTGGAAATCATAAGCATGCAGCTTTTGCAGTGCTCAAAGGAAACACCTGGTACCCAGAACCCACAAGAAATGAACCTAGTATTAGCCTTCAGGAGCCCATTTTGTGTACCCCTCTTATTTACCGCCCTGTTTTCCACAAGGGTAAATGTTCTAACTTTTTGCTTGATTTTGAACTTTATTTTCATGAAATCATTTCAGAACTCTTTCATGACAGGTTTTTTTCATTGCATGATTCATATATATTCTTGAATGTGGATAGAGTTCATTTTTCATTTCTGTATGGTATCTGTTATAAAATATACAATCTAGTGGCTGGAGAGATGACTCAGAGTTTAAGAGCACATATTGCTCTTCCAGAGGACCAAGTTCAATTCCCAGCACTCACATGAGGTGCTCACAACAGGTCTCTGGCTTCTGTGGGAACCCACACTAACATGCACATGCACAGACAGAAACACATAAGTAGTTTTTTTAAGTTTAAAAAATATATATGCAGCCTATTTTATTTTATTGATCCACCCTACTGGTAAACATTCAGTCTTTCCAATTTGAAGTTTTATCAATAATAATGCTCTGAATGTTCTTGTAAGAATCTTCTGGTAACCATGTGTATACATTTCTGTGATATACAGGACTAGGAGTAGAAATTTTGAAGGCATATCCACCTTTAGAGGTTGATTAGCTACTTTTCTCCATGCTATGATCAAATATCTGATGAGAAATGGCTTAAAGGAGGGCTTATTTTGGCTTACAGTTCAAGAGGATACAGCCCATCATGGTGGGAAAGGCATGGCAGCTGGAGCATGAGGTGGCTGATCACACAGTGTCCAAAGATGGGAAGGAAAAAAGACAGGAATTGAAGCTGGGCTATCAAACCTCAGGACCACTTTCTTGACTTAGGCCCCACCACAAGATTGTCCTCCCAGATGTTCCTGCCCTGGGGAGAGGCATATCTCGTTATATCACATCCAGTCAAGAACAGAGGGAATATACACATCCTTGTTTGGTTGCTTGCTTCACTTACATAGTTCAGGGCCCAGCAAAGAGAAAGGTAACACCCACAGTAGGCTAAGTCTTCTTACAATAAACAAGAAAAACAAGCCTAAAGCCTGCAGCCACAGACCTGATCTAGATAATTCCGCACTGAAGTTGGCTGTGGACATGTTTGTGGGGGGTTGTCTTTCTTGTTTATTGTTGTAAGAAGACCTAGCCTACTGTGGGTGTCAGCCTTCTCTCTGCTGGACCCTGAACTGCATGAGTGAAGCAAGCAAGGGTGTGTATTTCCTCTGCTCTTGACTGGAGCTAGTTGAATTCCTGCCTTGACTTCCCTGAAATGATAGACTGTAACTTGGAATTGTGAGCCAAATAAACCCTTTCTTCCTCTATGCTACTTTTCCACAAGGTATTTGCCAAAGCAACAGAAATGAAACTAAGATACCCCCCATGGAAAAAGTTTGGTCACGCTGATCAGAACCACATGTATTTCAACCTTTGAGCTCCTCTGCACTTGACATAGGTACAGTGCTATTCATCACAGACTTCTCTGTAAGAACAAAAGGTTGGAAACCATCAAGAGTCTAATAAATGGATGGTGTCCATCCATACAGTGGCATAAAATGAAGTGTGAAAGAAAGAAGCATTTGGGGTCCCCGTATGAAAAAAAAATTTATATCTCTTACTGGTCATGAGTGCTGGCAGGGCTGACCATTACTCATCTCTCTCCAGACTTCGAGCCGGCTTTTTTGAACACCTTGAGAAGTGGTTTGACCAATGTACCCTCAATGCCCGGGTCATTGTGGCTGCCAAGGTTGATGAGCTGGATTCAGAATTGGAGCTGCGTCTACATCTGCATCAGCCAAGATTCCAGCATGTGGAGAAAGATGTCTACAATGTCAGAGCAGGTTTGAGCCTGCCTTGGTAGGTCCACCCTGTCCCTAAGACCCTTCCTGCAGTGTCTGCTGCTCCATGGTCTCATGCTTGTTAGCTGTCTCAGTTTACACATTGGAAGATGTGCTCTAGAATCTGCATTTGGAGCTCTAAAATCCTCTCTTCCCTTCCCCTCCCTTTATCCCTCCTTCCTTCTTTCCTTCTTGAGACAGGGTCTCTACTCTGTAGCCCAGGTTTCCCTAGAACTCATTGTGTAGCCCAAGATGGCCTGGAACTTGTGGCAATCTCCCTATCTCACCCTCCTGAGTGCTGGGATTACAGGTGTGAGCTGCTATACCTGACTTAAAACTTGTTTTCTCCCTCCCTCTCTTCCTTTAGAGAGTGTTAAAGGCTGAAAGGAAGAATGTCATCCTGTTTTAGCTCCTGGACTTCAGATCTCAAACACCTGTCAAATACATACCTGCATGGTAGATGCTCTAACAACAAGCCTCTAGTTTAAGGACCAGAGCTCTCAGGTTCAACTTCTCTGGCTATGTAACTCTGAGTAGGCCTCTCTAACCCCTGCCTTACCTACAGGAGAGGTGTTGAGGTGGTATAGTGAGGAATTGTCAGTACTTATCTAAGTCACAGTCTCCCAAAGTGGAACCTAGTGTTTCTGCCTGATTATCTGTCATACTTAGAAAGATATAGCCTTTCTCTCTTAGGTGGGAAGTTCCATTTATGGGGAGGAGCACAATTTTAATAAGATCCCTCAGTGGCTCTTCACTCAAATCCATAGCCCTTTAAGACTTCCCCACATGATCCCATCCAAACTGCCATTGCCTGGAGCAGTAATGGCCATGGGCCTCCAGACTCCATGTCTGCAATCTTGGGTGACTTGCCTGACATCTGGAACCATTTTGTTCTCTAAAATGTGTGAACTAAATGCACCCAGGAATGAAAATGACTGTGCTGAAGGCTGGTTTCCTTCGCTGCTTTGGCTCCCGGGGCCAGTGTTCAGGGTTAGAAACTCAGACTCAGAAATGAAGTCTTAGCTCCACACCATGTTTTTAAATTAAAATTTTTTGATTAGCATGCAAAATAATGGGTTTCATGATGACATTTTTCATCCATGTATGTATGGCAATATACTTTGCCCCTATTTGTGCCCATTATGCTCTCTTGCCCACCTCCCCACTCCCATGGGTCCCCTTCCTCCTTCAAAATAGTCCCTTTCTTTCATGCCACACACATAACATAATCTAGGTTCTGCATATGAAATAAAACATGCAATATTTGTCTCCCCTGTTACCCTCTTTTGTTTCCTCCTCCCTTCTCTCTTTAATCTCTTTCCTCACACACACAGAGACACACAGACACATACAGCACACATACACACACACATATGTAACCTCTAAATTCTATATAGGAAAGAAAACATGCACTATTTGTTTTCTGAGACTGGCTTATTTTGCTAACATGAGCTTTAGTTCTGTCCATTTTCTTGAAAATAGCAGCATAACTTCATTCTTCTTTATGGCTAAATAAAATTCCATAGTGTACATGTATCACAGTCTAGTTAGCTAGCCACTTGTCTGTTCATAGACATCTGGGTTGATTCCCATATCCTGTCTGTTGTGAGTAGAGCTGCAATAAACACAGATATGTAGGTGCCTGTGGTTTGCTGACCCTGTCCCTTTGCAGGTGTCCGTGGCTTGCTGACCCTGTCTGTTTGCAGGTGTCTATAGCATGCTGGCACTGTCCATTTCTAGTAACTGCAGCCACAGCCCTTCTTGCTCCCCAGACAGAATAGCCAGATGAGGATCTGGGGCTCCCTGTTTGCTTTAAAAGTTCTATGAAAGGCTCTGGAAGCCTCACATAATTCTCTCTCCTTCATCTTGGAGCCAGTTGGAACCTTGGCTATTGGACATAGTAGTCACTGGTGTAAAGGAAAAGATCCATATTGCTCAGCTTTGTTCTTGTTGACTTCTCCCAAGATCTCAAGTGCTCCCCAATACCTCTACCCATTCCCCTGCTCCCCAGAACTCTCCTCCCTGGCTTTGCTCCTATAAAAGATAGGCTCTACCAGCAAGGGGGAAGGGGTTCAGGCTCACAGCCTCATCGAGCCTCTTCTCCAGTGTGGGACCTTGAGGTGAGCACTCCTTGACCTCCCTGAGATCCCAGCCCAGTCCCAGTCCTGGCCTGGAGAGGGCAGCAGGGGCAGGGAAAGAACCTTGACCTGAGTGGTCCCTGCTCTATAGCTGGCCTAGGAGGGGCAACAGGTAAACCCTGTTCCAAGGAAGGAAGGAATATATCCTATATCCAGCTATATCCCAGACGGCTCTCCTTACCCTCTTGCAGCTGAGCTCCTGCTTCACCAAGAGAGGTTGGACAGTCACTGCGCTGGAGTGATGGAGACACTGACAAAGGAGAGACTGATGTTCTGCCAGTTCCAAGAAGAACAAGCAATAAGGAGCAAAAACTTCCGCCGCAAGATCTATGACATGGAGCACACCTTCTTGAATGCCACCAAGAGCCAAAAGTAAGAAGGAGCATTTCCCTCCCAGTAAAGGGCCTTCAAAGCCCAGCTCCTTCTGGCCAACAAGAAGGAGGCCCTCTGGAGCCTGACTTTGAACTAACCTTTTCACAAGAGCCAAAGAGCCAGACTCCATGGGCAGCATATGATGTTTGTGAGGCAGGGATGCACAGCCTGGGAGAAAAATGGTACCCACACATAGCATGCAAGGATGAAGATGCTGTGCCTTGAAACGTCCATGTTTAGAAAGCCCACTTCTCTCAGTGGCATTCCAGAAGGGCTTCCTGGAGGAAGGCATTGCCAATGAACCCAGAGGCACTTGGCAAAACTTAGGGAACGGGAATCCTCAGTACTGTCAGAGCATGAGGCTCCAGCAAGGCTATTCAGGGTTGTCAGTTAGAGGCCTCAGTCAGGTGACAGGAAGGATCCTGGCAGGTATTCAGCAGTCAATCACACAGAAGTAGATGATTGTTGTGACAGAGAAGAAAGTTCTAGGGTATTAAGGAGCAGACAGGGCAAGGGTGCTAAATTGCTGGGGAGTCAAATGGTCTGTGGGAGGGAGGACAAGGACTGAGAATGGCCTGGGATTCTTACTAATTTGGTAGCAGGGTCAGAGGGAGCAAGCAAATGCTCCCTGATTCAGCATACCCACAGAGACACATTGTGTCCTGCACACACAAGTATTTTGAACTTCCTTTCTTCGATTGTTTGGTCATTGGTTTTTTGTTTGTTTTGTTTCTATTTTTGGTTTTTGTAACACTGGGGATTGAACATAGGCTTTGCATCTGCTAGACAAGGCCTCTACCACTGAACTATATCACCAATCCTCTTTTTACTTTTTACTTTGAGACAAGTTCTCACTAAATAGTTCAGTTAGGCCTTGAGTTTACTCTGTAACCTAGACTGACCTTGAACTTGTGATCCTCCTGCCTCAGTCCCATGAGTGCTGAGGAACACAGGCCTCCACCACACCCATCTTTGAACTTCCTTCCTATTGTTCCTTTTCTACCCAGAGAAGCTGGGCAGTGGTTCTGGTGGCCCCACAGCTGGTCACTCATGTGGCTCTCAAGCAACATCCCAGAATTCCCTGCAGGCCCAGGACACCACCAGCCCTCTCATGCCTCCAGGGTTGGTCATCCATCACCACCTGCCTCGCTCCTGTCCCCACAGGCTGACGAGTCTCACCAAGACACTACACCGGGAGCTGCTAAGCTATGTGGATGTTATCCAGGTGTCCCTGCGAAGCTTCCGGCAGTACCTGGAGGAAAGTCTGGGCAAACTCCGCTACACCAACATTGACTTTGTTAAACACTGCAGGTGGGAACCATTACAGACTTCTACAGGCCACCAGAGTTCACTATTAGGAGGCATCTATATTTCTCTTTTAACTTTCTATTGTGCCAAAATATGCACGATATAAAATTTACCATTTTAACCATTTTTAGTTGTACTGTTCAATGGTATTAAATGCAATTTTTGCCATCATCACCAACAGCCAGCTCTAGAACTTTCTTCTGTCATAACAGACTACATCGTAAACATTAACACCTCATTCTCCTCCCCAAATCCCTGCCAGTCACATCTTACTTTGTAGCTCTATGAAATTGACCACTCCATGCTCAGCCCTATGGGTCATCTGTATCACCCCCTCCAAGACCTAGGGAATATCACAGAAGAGGGGGCCAAAAGAGCGTAAGGACAAGAGCAGGAGGATGGGGAAGAGTGTTGCAAAAAGACACTTTTGGACATGGCGTGGCCCTTGCACTCATGAACTCACTGCAGCTGTGGTTACCCAAACAAGACCTCTGCAAGATGGGGTTCATTAACATTTCATCATGGAAAGCAGAGGGGCTCCAGAGGCCCCACTCCTCCCTGAGGGACTATTGGCAGTTAATGGTTGCTAGGGGAAGGCGGCCACTTTCTTCAGTGATAACTGATAAGTTACCTATGCTCCAGTAAATAATCTCCCAGCCATGTTCATGCAAGCAATCCTAATTATGCTCACTGGGTGTTCTAGTTTGCTTTCAATAGCCATGACAAAACACTCTGACCAATACCAACTTGGGGAGGAAAGGGTTTATTTAGCTTACATCTCCAGGGTCACAACTCATCACCAAGGGAACTCAGCACAGGAACCTGGAGGCAGGAGCTGGAGCATAGACCATGGCTTCCCTGTGATCAGCTTGCTTTCTTATGCAATACAGGACCATCTGCCCAGGGGTGGCACCGCCTACAGTGGGCTGGGCCCTCCCACATCCCTCAACAACCAAGAAAATGCCTCACAGACGTGGTCACAAGCCAGTTCAATGGGGGCAATTCCCCAGCTGAGGCTCCCTCAACCTAGGTGTGTCAAGTTAACAACTAAAGCAATCCAGCACACTGGATAGCATGCATACACACACAAGCTATGTAGAGTCGGACTTTCTGAGAAGGGAGAAGGAGGTGAGATAAGAAAGAATAATGGGGGGGTGAAAAATGACTAATATTCACTATATACATGAATGAAGCAATCAAAGAATAAAGTAACCCTAAGAACACATGGATGACTCCAGGCACCCTCATACAAAAAGGATCACATGGCACTTATTCTTTTAGTGCCTGGTATACTTCATTTGCATATACCATGTCTTGAAGGTTCATCTATATCTACCATACATCCAAACGTTCCTCCTTTTAAGGGCTAAGTGACATTCCAGTATGTACATATCACATTTTGTTTATCCGTTAGCCTATTGGTGGCCAAGTGGTTGTTTCTACTTTGGGGTGTTAGGAATAGTGGTGCCAGGAATGCTGGAGTGCAGCTGTCCGTCCAGGCTCTGCTGCAGTCTTTTGGGAGGAGTCCCAAAAGCAGAATTGCTGCATCAGATGGTGATTCCTTCGTTTATCTTTTGAAGAGCCGTAATTCTACTCTCCATGGTAACTGCCCCATTTTTCATTCCTGCTGACAAAGTGCAAGAGCTCTATTTCCTCTGTGTCCTCACCAACATTTTTCACTTCCTTTCTAAAATAGTAATGCAGGCAGTATGACAGTGTGGTTTTAATTTGTATTTCCCTGATGATTATTGATGACGTCTCTCTAAGTGCTTATCAAGGCTCTTCTTTCTCTGTTTTCCCCATGATCTCAGGTTACTCCTGCCTGAATATAAGCCTGGACGTACTCTTTGATAATTGCGACAGGTTATATTTGATTCATTTTTAAAGCTTATATTGCTTCAAAAATTACAAATATTTATTATAGCATAATCAAACACAGAAGTAAAATTAGAAGTCCTCCAAAAATAAATTTTTGATGTGTTATACATAAATAAACATTGCTAGTTTTGTACTGACGTAGAATCCTATTCCATGTGTATATTAATCATTTTACTCATTGTGGCAAAATGCCTGACAAAAGTAATCTAAGGAAGGAAGATCTCCTGACAGGTAAATCTTTTCGTTGGGGCCAAGGAGACGGCTCAGGAAGTAAGGTGGTTTGTGCACAGGCCTGATGACGGGCATCCATCCCTGGATCCCACTAGGTGGCAGGAGAGAACCAGGAGTAGACCTAAACTCTCCAGGACAGAGCCAGCTTCGGCACATCCACATCCTAAGGGACCCTCTAGTTTCACTTCATCTGAAGACTGCAGAATTCTCATCCTTAAGTGAATTTCACGCAGCATTTTACTTGTTTCAGTTCGGTCTGTCACGGCACCCAATCTGACACCCTGGCAAACTGGAAATTCCACAGCTTTTACTCATTCCTGACCCTGCTCTTGCATTGCATATATATATATATATATATATATATATATATATATATATATATATAGCCACAGGCCTTGGGGTGGATGGGAATGTCCTTTATATCTTTATATTCTTTATATCTCCCCAATTCCTATCAGATTGTTTTCAGAGGGTGGCAACTTTTCCCCTGAAGAAATCAAGTCACTGTGTCATAGGCTGGAGAAGGAGGCTACCCAGATAGAGTTCGTTGAAAGTTTGATCATGATCAATATGGAAAAGATGGAGACAGAGTACATGGACGAGGTGGGAGTAGCCCTGTCCCCCCCCAAACAGCCCCCAGGAGTGCCTGCCATGGCTATCACCTGTGAAGGAAAGGCCATGCCAGGGGTGGGAGGGGGTTGGGGGGTTGAGGGGCTCCAGCAATGACCAAGCCTTTTCCCCATCCTTCTGAAGTCTGAAGTTCCAGATCAAGTTCCTCTACTTAATTCCTTATCTTTCTTCACAGGCCAATGATGTCATCAACAAATTTGAGAGTAAATTCCATAACCTGTCTTCAGACCTCATTTTCATAGAGAAAACCCAACGGCTGATGACAAATCTGCAAGTGAATATCAAGTGTCAGGTAGGACAGGTCCGTCCTCCATCCAATGGACATCTGTCACACACACCTGCACACCAGCATCTGGTACACACACATGCACACCAATATCTGTCACTCACAGCTGCACACCAGCATCTAGCACACACACACACAGCTGCACACCAATATCTGGGGCGCACGCATCTAGCGCACACGCGCATGCACACGCACACACACACACACACACACACACCTGCATACTAGCACTGTTCAGGTGTTGGGACACCAGGGTAGGGTCTGTCCCACAAGCCTTTTTCTTCAGCTAGGAAGACAAATGAACTCTTAATAGCCCCACCTATTCACTGAGTTATTACATACCATGCTGACCAAATCAATCTAATTAGCACTATTAGTCCTTACTAATAGTGTATTAGTAACCTGATGGGGTAAATAGTACTTTTATTGCCATTTTCAAGATAAACTGAGGTAGAGTTCATAAATTTCTTAACCCACAGGCAGGAGGACCTGAGTTCAATCCCCAGAACACACCTTTAAAAAACCAGACATAGGGCTGGGAGTGGTGGTTCACACCTTTAATCTCAGCACTCAGGAGGCAGAGACAGGGAGTCCTCTGTGAGTTCCAGGCCAGCCAGGGCTACATCGTGAGACCCTGTCTCAGAAAAAAAAAAAAAAAAAAAAGCTGAGCATGGTGATACACACTTATAATCCCATCACTGGAGAGGCAGAGACAGGCAGATCCTTAATGGCTTACTGGCCATCCAGCCTAGGCTAACAAGTCAATGAAAAACCCTCTCTCAAAAAAAAAAAAAACAAAACAAAACAAAAGGGCAAGGCAGATAGTTTCTGAGGGGCAACATCTGATGTTGACCTCTGACTTCCACCTGCATGTGCCCAGAGGTATAAGAGTGCACACACACACATCAGCACGCGCACACACACACACACACACACACACACACGCAGAACAAACGAACCTGAGGCTGACAGTAAGTAATGTGATGATGTAGGAACACATAGCTCTTAAGTGATGAAGCCAGAATGAGAGTCCAGGTCTGGCCCTAACCATAGCTAGGATATCCGTGCCCCCCACAAAAGTTGTGGGGTTACATGAGGGCATAGAGGGGAAGCTTTGCCTGGGTTGACAAAGCAGGGGCTTCCCAAAGCTCAAGACAAGAGTCACCAAGGCAGGAGATAGAGGGAATGGGGTGTCCTGGAGAGATGATGGAAAGACTCCCAGGTGCTGGTACCAAGAACATCCAAGTATGAGAAGGAAGGAGTGAAGAGCTGAGGCTGGAGAGGCAGGCAGTCCACAAGGGAGACGGTGAGGGCCACAAAGGGACTGAGTGCTCAGGGACGCATGTGAGGAGGGTGTCTAGCTACTGGTTGCACAAAGCTGGTGGTGAGTGTGAATGAGGAAGGGTAAAGCCAAGGCTGAGAGAATGGGCCTGGATGACTGTCTACAGGGACATGGTCCCATTCCAGAATTGGGAGGCAGTAGAGTAGGTGAGATTCGGAATACACTGGGCATGAAGGGCCTGGATTGCCCACCTGGCAATATGAAGTTTTGAGTACAGCAAGACCTTTCACAGCCCAACTGTGTGTGATCCCTGAAGCCAAGATGCTGGACCCATGGCCATCAAAGACTGACCTGGGAAAGTGGTTCTGAGTTCATTGTCTCGCACCAATGAACCTAATACCATGGACTCTCATGGGAATATGCAAAACAGAAGAAAGTTTTATTAAGAATTATTACAGAATTGAGAAAGCAAGAAAAAGTGAGAAATTAAAGTAAAAAAACTCCTGAGGATGGAGGGGTTTCCAGGTGACAGAAAAGCCGTTGAATTTCCTTTGTCCTGGGGTTTTATAGGACAATGGCAGAAACTGAACAAAGGCTGAGGAAATCTCGGATGGGACTGGTTAATTCTCTGGACTCTTATGGGCCAAACCGATGGGGGAACCCCACTCACTATGCATGTCCCCTTATCCCAACCAAGGAGATGATTGTGTGCCGCCCACCCAGTTAGGTGTTGTTGAAGGCCCCTGTGTCCATAACTGATTCTGGCTTTGTTAGATTTTTTGTTTTGTGTTTTTGAGACAAGGTCTCTAACCCCAGCTGGCCTGGTACTGGCTATGTAGATCAGACTGACCTCATTCTCACAGAGACCCACCTGCTCTGCCTCCTGAGTGCTAGGACTAAAGGCATGCACTGCTACGCCCTGCTTGTTAGTCATTTGTCTGCTAGCTGTTAGTCACCAGCGGGGTTGCTATCTCTGACCTTGCAGGCATCTCACTGGCTGTCTATTATACTAAGCTCTCTTTGTTCTCACACTTACATGATCAGCTTGTAGCTTTACCATGGCAGAGACTTATCTGTATTCCAGACACTAAAATATAGCTATGGTCTTTCTTGATTTCTTTTTATTTAGCTACTTGTCTATGGGATGGTCTGAGGTGATCTCCTAGGCAGAAGTTTCTTGTTAGAAGCTGTCTTTACTTACAATTTAGTGTGTTAAATTAGAAGCAGGACTATATGAAGGGGCAAGAGCACCTTATGTTCCTCAAGGGCTGGCCTGCCTGCCGCCACTGACCCAGAGCCCTGTTCCTCCTTTTATTTATCTGGCTTGATTATCTCATACCCAACTACAAGCCCCCTTTTTTCGTCTTCCTCAGCATTCCAGACTCTGCCATTTTAACTCTTTAAAGTATTTTATTTGGCGGGGGAAGAAAAGGAGGAAAAAGAGTTTCAAGGGGCCAAAGTCTTCCCTGAAGCAACCAAAGATATATCCAAGCGCTTCCTCAAAAAAAATTTTATTTATTATTTTTTATGTGTATGCGTGTATTGCCTGCATGTAGGTAAGTATACCCATGTTGTGTAATGCCCAAGGAGGACAGAAGAGGCTGTTGGATCCCCTGGAACTGGAGTTATGGACAGTTGTTAGCTGCCATGTGGGTGCTGGGATTCAAATCTGGGTCTTCTGTAATAACAGCCAGTGTTCTTAACCACTGACCCATCTCTCCAGCCCCTGCTTTTTATCCCAACCTCTGTTCCCACTGCAGCATGTATGAACAACTTTCAGCTTTCGCCATGGGCCCCTTCCCTCTTCCCCACATAGAGCTAGGTCACTAGGTCAGCACACATTCAAGGAGCAGTGTCTGAGAGCCTTCTGGAGTGGGACCAGCAGAGCTGAGGAGGGCCCACCTGTCTCCTGGGAGCCACAGGTGTGTACCAGCAAAAGAAGTGTTTGCTGAGGTCTCAAGCTCTGCGATGACACAGTCAGAGCCTGTCATGCTACCAAGCACTTACATTATTTGTGACATGGGAACTATAAAAACAACTCAAAAGGTTCTGGCACTAGTCAGTAAACTAATGTGTATTAAGCTTGGCATGAATCCCAGTACAGCATGAAGCCTCAGTGGAGGCAAACTGGTGGAGGGCTCCAAGCACCTCCAAGGGAAGCTTCTAGTCATTCCAGAAAGGAGGAAGAGATGCAGCTCCAAGGAGCAGAGCCCAGAGGCCAGAGTACATCACCCAGACCCTGTTTAAGGAGCACATTCCTAATGAGTCTCCAACCAGCATTGACAGACTCATTTCCTGGACTGTTCACAGCCTGCAGGGCTTACATTTTCTATAACAAGTGTCATAAGCAGAATCCATTTCTACTGTATTGAAAACAGAGAACAAACACAAAAGGAGATGACAATCTGTGTTCTACACATAGCATAATTCCCAGCAAGCACTTTACCAACTGAGACACATTCCCATCCCCCATGTAGTTAGAATTCCTGTTTAAGATACTGACTCATGATTAATACCACATGTGAAAAGATAGAAACGTACATTCAAATTGGCCTCTTGCTATTAATGTGACTTTATAAACTGTCTTCTCTTTATTTGTATGTATGTGTGTATGTGGTATGTGTGGTGCATGCACAACACATGTAGGCCAGCACAGGACATTGGGCATCTTCCTCTATCGCTCTTCTCCTTATTGCCTTGAGATAGGGTCTCTCACTGAACCAGAAGTTCACCATTTCGGCTAAGATGTCTGGCCAGAGAACTGTTGGATCCACCCCCCAATGCTCGGGGTTACAGACACACGTAGCCATTCCCAGCTTTTCTGTGGGTGCTGGGGATTTGAACTCAGGTCCTTATCCTTATAGAGCAAGCACTCTTATCCACTGAGCCATTTCCCAAGCCTTCTGTACACTTGCTAAAGATTCTTCATAAACACCCTTTGGGTGGCCTCCCTTTCATGGCTGTGCTGTCACTTTTCCTCTTGGAGGACACTGGATGGAGTCTGCCCACCCTCAACATGATGCCTTCCCAGTGCCATGAGAAACACCCTTGCCTGGGACACTGCCTACATCGATCTACTTTCCTGTCTAAACACACACTCCTGGTCTCAGTTTTTCATTGTTCAGTCAGTTTCTCACATATGTTGTAGAACATTTTCCTGATCACAACACATATTCAAGAGACAGAACCTTAGAACCTCTGGTTTTCTAGGTGGCAAAGTCCAATTTGCAAACAGATGGATTAAATTCTTCTCTGGAGCAGCTTCAGTGCAAGATGGCAATGTGTCGAGACCGACGGGGAGATAAAGCAGTGAGTGGTCAACAGATTCTAAGTGTGCCCAGTCAAGATTCACAAAGCTGGCATAAACTTGCATTTGGGTGCCAGATTTCTCCAGCACAAAATGGGTAGAGTGTCTCTGAGCCTCACTGCTTAACTTCTATGATAATCCGTGGAAGGAAGGAAGGAAAATCAGCCAGTGCCCCCTCTCCCACTAGCCCTAGGCAAGCATGCAGAGTCATTGAGGGTGGGTCCTGAGTCTGGCTTTGGGGACCCTACCTCCCCCTGCCATGTCAACAAGTGTCCTTCACTTAACCGAGAACTCAGCTCCAGGTAATGAGAGAAGCAAGGCTCTGCCCTCCTCCTTTTCATCAGAGCACACGAACTGATTTTTCATGTCTAATCTGTGAAGTCAGAATTAGAGCAGAGCTTGGCAGGAGCACGTTCCAAATGTCCCCAGGTTCCTGATCAGTAAAGCAGGTCTCTGGGTGTCCACATGCTTGTTTTTCCAACATGAATGCATGTCTCTGCCCCACTCCGCATGTGCCCTGGCCACATGAGGCATCTTCCCTGGGCAGCTCAACCAGACACCTCCAGAGCTGGATACCCGAGCTGCAGTCTATAGAAGGGCATTTCCTCCCTCCCCTTCTTTCTCTCATCCATGTTAGTGGCTCAGAGTTGTCTCCATTGACATGAGCACCAAGAATCCAGTGACTTTTCTAGCTTCCTTGCTTGCTGTATAGTTTAACACAAGATTCCTGAGAAGAGTTCAAACACCCACAGAGCATCACGTGCAGAATAAATGTCCCTCTGTTCTCGTTATGTGGAGACAGACACTCTCAGTCCCACTGGATGCCTTCATGCAGGTTTCTACACGTCCATTGAGTTAATTGCCTCAAAGAGCTGATGTGCAGACAAAAGGTGGTTCCTACAGCTTATCCATGAGTTCCCTGGTCTCCCTTATGCCTGGTATCAAGGGACAAACTAATTGTCCTACTGGGACCTCCAATAAGCCCCTTAGACAAACCCCAACTCTCCTGAATAGCAATGTTTTAATTCATTTCTTCCCCTCCCAAATTCCACACATGTTCTCTCCTGTCAAGCTATTAGGTGGATCCTAGGGTGTATGAAGTCTCCTGACCAGGTGGAGAGAGTGTGAGCTGTGGTGTGCCCTTCCAGAGTGGGTGGAGGAGCCTTGTTTACAGTCTGCAGAGCTGTAATTAGGAGACAGTGGTGATGCCTTGGATGCATGGCGAGGATAAAGATGGTGAGGGTGCATGGCTGTGTACCCGCAGTATGCTGCTAAGAAGAATGCCTAGGAGATGTTGCTGGAGATAGCCAGTCAGCTTTCCTGCTTAACTCTCCACATCCTTGCCAACAGGATGAAATGTGTCCTTCTAAACACAGAGCGTTAGAGTTAGAGGAGATGCTAGGGAAATTTCATATGGAACCATATGGACTTATATAGGCACCTATAGTACTAGGAGGAGAGATCTCCCATCAGTGAAGGATCTGCTACCTCAAGACAGCTGTCCCCAACTCCCCCAGGCCCCTTCCTGAAAGGGAATGACCTTGGAAGAACCAAGGGTTGTCCTTAGTGTGATAAGGCCCTGTTCCTGCATGTCTGGTGACCCTGCCTGCTTCCTGGGGAGCTGCCTTCCTCCATGTTCCCACTAGATGGTGACCACAGATGATCTCCTTGCTTCTGTCCAAACTTGGAAAGAAAAACTGAACCAGAGGATTAGGTACCTCAACTGCAGCCTGGATGTGATATCCGTTACTCAAGAGGTCATTAAGGTAAGGAGCTTGATGGGGTGATGGGAAAGGGTAGACAAGCTGTTGTCTGGGCTCCCAGGAGACCCCAGAAGATCCAGTGGGCTAAGGGAAGGGAAGATTCCCAGATCGCTATGGGACATTAGACCTGCTGGAATGTCATGGAAGGAAGGCACACTGTGGAGTCAGATCTGAGCTGAGATTCCCCAGGGCCCAGCTCCTTGCACTGGAGTCTGAGGAGGCTCCTCACCTCCTGGCATCACTCCTCTCTCCACCAGGGCTCACTCTAGACTCTCTGCACAAGGTCTCAGGCCAGTCTATTCACCTCAGCGTCTTCCTTCCCAACTGCAGCCATGAGCAAGCAGCCTTATCTACCATCTCCAAAAAGACTCCAGAGTCTTTCCCACTAGATACCTACTCCTCTCACATCCCACATCGCTGCTTCCCTGAGCAGCAGTCAGACCAAATGTCAGAAAAGGCCCAAATAACTGTCTCTCTCCTACCTTCAGGGTCAGGTCCAAATGCTCCAGCCAGCCACACAGAAGCCTGTTTGGTTTGTCCTCCATACCCCGTCATCCCTTTCTCCCAGTCTAAGGCACTTCTCTTAAGCCATCTCTCGCCTTCTGGTCTGGGTTGGGCTCTCCTGGCCCAGGAGCTTTTTCAACTTTCCCATGAGTCCACAGACCATGTGGTGAGGTCTCTAGTTAAGGGGCCATCTGCCAGAGACTGAGGGTAGAGGCTGCATGGCCTACCCCCTGCCCAGTCTTCACATAAGGCTTTGCTCATGTGAGGTGCTCAGCTACTTCCAGGGCATCCAAGAGCCAACTGCTGCATAAGTGGATTGTGCTGGCTCCACCCCCATTGCCAGCCTCTAGCCACCCTTCTGTGAGGACGCTTTCCCTATGGTACAGTCAGCTAACCATCCCATCCACCTCCTGTACTGCTCATGAGGCTGCAGAGGTCCAGCCTAAGTCCTTCCTTGAAATCCCTGACAGGAGAGGCGACTCAGAATGCAGCAGGGAACAGCCAGACCAACCACTCATGGTGGACACCACTACCACCTTTCCTCGCCAGGCAGTTAGCCACTGTTAGCCTTGTCTTCATTCCCTTATCTCATTTGGTCACTTATTTGTGTAAGTGTGCATTGGATGTCTGTCTCTCCTGCCTGGACTGCAAGCCCCAAGAGGTCAGGGAGTCTATGTAGCCTCTCTACCCATGTCCTTGGGACCCAGTCAGAGCCTTGTAGAGAACGGGGACTCAGGAAGCCTTTCTGAAAGAATGAATGAATGAGTGAATGAATGAATAAATGAATGAATGGTCCCCTAAGGGAAATAGAAATACAACCATTCTGTAGAGAAAAGAGCAAAGTTCTATGATGTCAGGCAGCTTGCCTCCAACTACCACTTGGATGCGGTGACCTGCTGCCTCTCCATCATGTGGTCCCTATACTCAGCTTGTCTTCCTGACCTGCAGGACACTGTTGTGACTGATATGAAAGTGGAGAGTGACATCCATGTGTCTTCAGAGGCCCTCGAGGAGGAGAACAAGGTGGGTGTGGTCACCCCTGAGTCCTTTGCCCAGCCCAGCCGCATGGGGAAGCCCATGATTGAAGACCCTGTCGTGGAGGTGGTCAAGAAGATCCTGCAGTGAGTGTCTGCCATCACCGCCTGAGTTCTTTAATCTGCAGGAAGTTTGGGGTCCTGCACACTGGGGTTCCCTTGGGAGGCCCCCTCCAGGAGGCCCAGACCTTGGGCCAGGGGCTTCTTCTCTCAGCCTCACTCAGCTCCTAAGCTTATGGTGGGACTTATGCACAGGGTATTGAGAACCAACAGGGACACTACCCCGGGACTGGCCTGGGCTGTCCTCCTGGTCACCATGGAAACACTCACTTCCTTCCCTTTGGTTTCAGACTTCCTCAGATAAAACCAGGGTACCCGTGTGATAAAGATCACTCTCAGACAGGTAGAAGCACAGGCTTGTGGAGCTCAGGGAAGCTGGTGGCTGGGAAGATGGTGGTATTTGTGGCCCATCCTCACCTCTTGCCCTCTGCTCCTGTCCTGGGTACTTGTCACCCAAAGCCTTGAAACGACATCGATGCCGAGAAGAAAAATCTATGAAGAAGCCCTTGGCCAGCTCCAGTGCCACCTCAGCTGGGAGGTAGGGATGCAAGGCCACCCAGAAGTTCCCCTTCCCAGACCTTCTGGGCCCAGACAGTCTGGACAACCTGATTCTTGCCCAGACTCTGATCTCAGGTCTCACTTGCACTCTTGCTTAGAGACTCCATGGGATGGAGGTGGGAGGGGCAGTAGTGACGGGCTGGCTTTGCTCAGGCCTGAGTTCATCCTTAGAGGTAGGGTACACCTCCCACCCAAAAAAGTGTCTGGGAGTTGGGTGACCATCCATGTGATGGCAGGGGCATCTCCACCCTGTAATCTCTCCACAAACTGGATAACATTAGAAAGAGAGAGATAGAGAGAGAGAGAGAGAGAGAGAAAGAGAGAGAGAGAGACTTTATTGGAGCAACCTCAAAGACACAGGAGTCTTGCAGCAAGGTGCCCAGATCTGTGCTCCACCCACAAAGCCCTGGAAAGGTCATCACACCTGATCTTCTGACCCCCAGCTCCCATTGACAAATTTTAGGAAAAGCAGGTAATGAGTCTAAGCAGGCTCTTTGCTAAGCCCTGGGTGGCATGGCTGAATTCCTGACTGGGAGAAAGTGAGGGGAAGCCCTGCTTGGCTTTTATCAGCACACGATCTGTTGAACCCTAAATCTGCCATGTGAAGAGAAAAGAAAACACTTGAAATAAAAGAGCAGGGAGGGGGCTAGAGAGATGGCTTAGCGGTTAAGAGCACTGGTTGTTCTTGCAGAAGACCTGGGTTCGAATCCCAGCACCCACATGGCAGCTGTCAACTGTCTGTAACTCCAGTCGCAGGGGATCCGACAGCCTCTTCTGACCTCCGTGGGCATTTGCATGACATAGGTGCACTCATCTACTTGCAGGCAATGCACACATATACATAAAATAAAAAAATAATAAGTAAAATTTTTTAAAAAGAGCAGGGAGTCAGTCAGCTACCTTCAAGTGCATTTGGTGTATTCAAGGGTGGGAGGTGGCGGGGGCCAGAGCTTCTGGTGGAGCTCAGTGAAGGTGTGCCTGGTCAGAGATCAGCAAACCCAAAGCTGAAAGCAGGCCCATTGGAAGCAGGGCGTCCTGTATGGTCAGTTACGGTGCTGAGCTGGCCCTCTCTAGTTGGTCCCAAATTGGAAATGACTACAAACATGAGATAAGTTGTTGTTTAGCAACCAAGGCCTGACCACTGGAAGCCTGTCATTACAGCCTGTCAGGAGGTACCAGTCTGCCTGCCTGCAAGTCTAGCCTGTTGCAGGCTGGCTTCTGGCTACGGCTTGTTCTAGCCTGGAGACTGGTGCTCAGAACCCAGTGCTCCAGGCTGTGGGTCAGAGTTCTATCTTTCAGTAGGTGATCCAGGCATCTCCTGTTTCTATACGTAGTCTCTCAGAGGTTCTAACATGAAGTCCAGGGCTCTTGTACTGTGAGAGGGGGGCCCATCTCAATTTAAGTTCATATCAGTAACACTTAACATTTTAGTATAAGTATGTCCCAAATATTGCCTGGGACATATACTAAAACATTACTCATTGTGTTTATCAAATTCACATGTAACTGGGAGTACCAAATGGGTATTTGCTGACCTTGGCGACCCTACCTGTTTTCCTGTGGGCCTTCGCCATAAGGAAAGAAGATGGCAACCTCTGAACTGCAACCCCTCTGCCCCTTGCTGTCTGCATGGCCTTGGCTGGGCTTTAGCGATACACCGAGTTAAGTCTGTCTTCAGAGCTGTTAAGGAACTGGGAAACACCCCAAAAGTTCCATCAAGGCTCCAGAATGGAGTCATCCTGCCAGACAGGCAACCCAGACTCTCAGGCAATCCAGGTAGGGTTCCATGGGTGCAGACTGCCAGACTGCAAAGTACTGATCCGCCTTTGTCCCTCAGCATGTCACGGCAGCCCAAGCTTATCAGAGTCAACAGGAAGTACCAAGTGCTCGGGGAAAGGCCTCCTCCTCTGGCTGAGTAAGTGGCAGTGGCAGTCTCTTCTCCTCAGAACCCTTCCCCTCTGTGGAACCCCTTTCCCTCTTTAGACCCCCTTTCCTCTGTGAGCTCCCTTTCCCTCTGTGGACTTCCTTCCCCCTCTGGGGACTGGAGAGACTGGAGGTTAAGCGCACTGACTGCTCTTGCAGCAGACCCGGGTTTGATTCCCAGCACCTACATGGCAGCTATGAACCGTCCTTAACTCCAGTTCCAGGGGAATCCGAAGCCCTCTTCTGACCTCTGTGGCATTGCACGACACGGGTGCACTCACATACATGCAGGCAATACACTCATATAAGATGGCTCAGCAGTTAAGAGCACTGACTGCTCTTGCAGAGGACCCAGGTTTGATTCCCAGCACCTACATGGCAGCTATGAACCGTCCTTAACTCCAGTTCCAGGGGAATCCGAAGCCCTCTTCTGACCTCTGTGGCATTGCACGACACGGGTGCACTCACATACATGCAGGCAATACACTCATATACATAAAATAATAGAAATAATAAGTTTTTAAAAACCTTTAAAAAAAAAAAAGGGTGGTCTGGAGGCTAATGAAGGGACACTTAGGGGTCAAGGCCAGTTCGTCTCAATCTCATCCATCTGTTTTCTGAGATGCATTTTCACCAAATTTTCACATTTTCCAAGACAGCATTTCATGGTCACAGGCCAGAGACCTTTGAGGGTTGGGAGGAGGGGTTCTTTGTTTAACTTTTTTTAAGTTTTCCCACCCATTTCTCTTTTCCTTTATTGGCCCTTTAGTGTCTAAAACAAATCTTCTTTACTTGGTCCACTTCTTTCCAAGCACCAGCATCTCTCAGGTTAAGAATAGAGCTCTACAGTAGAGACCACTCCCTCTAGCAATGGACCCCTCTACACAGCACCCCGAAGGCAGCCAATAACCCCAGAACGTCTTAGCTCTGGAGCTGCAGAGCTATGCAGAGAAGCGTGGCTGATCCACCAGGTGACCCAGGCGAGGCCTGGAGGTGGCAACTTGACATGCCCTCATCCCATGCACAGGACGTTCCATTGCAGTGGAAACTCAGCTCTGTTTGCTCTAGTTCTATGTCATTTTATTCCATAAGGAGATTTCTGAACCCCCACCACAAGAAAGATAGAGAACCGCTCCATCCCCACAAACATCTCCCTTTTTACCCCCTTCCCTCACATCCCAGTGCCCCATCCCTGCCCCAAGCAACCAGCAATCTCTCATCCCTGTGATTTTGTAACTTGGGGAATATCATATAAATGGACGTGATATCCCATTTAACATTCTCAGTGACAGCACAGTGCCCCTGAGACCTGGCTTAATCTTGTGCCACTGTAACAGAATTATTGTGTTATTGTTTTTGAGACAGGGTTTCATGTAGTTCAGGCTGGCTTCAAATTATATATAGTGACAGATGTCCTTGAACTCCTCCTGGTCCTCCTACCTCCACCTCCCAAGTGCTAGGATTACAGGCATGGAACACCACAGCCAGCTTTATTGTTTATTGTTTATTCCTTAAACAGTGTTGGGGGACTGACAGGTACAGACACTGCACTGGGGCTCCCCAGTGAACAGCCCCTGCCCCATAGTCCACATCCTGTATTAAAAGATAAATTCCTCCGTATTAAAATGTTGCCAAGTTGCTTTGCAGCAGATAATCATTTGTGAATGGGAGACATTTGTGGAGTGTGTGTGGCCGAGGGCTCCACCAAGGAAGGGCCGGGGGAAATTTTTCATGTGTTCACAGAAGCAACAGGAAGAAAATATTTGATTAGCTACAATGGAAAGTCCCCCATTAGAGGTTAATTAGCTATTTCTGATTGGTTGAGCTTAAATTTCATTGTACTAGAGACATTTCAGAGACAGACCCAGTCAGCATTAAATGCATGCAGAATTTACAGTCTGCTGGGATAGATGGAGATTAATGAGCCAGTCAAACCAATCAACCCCAGGTCCACCCTTTTGGGGTGCTTCAGGGCTTAGGAGCACGCTGAGAGTATCAGAACCAGGAAACCTGCTTGGAGCAGGGAGCCAAGGAAGAATGGGAACGCAAGGAGGTTTGCAGCCTGTTTTACTGGAGAGGACTTGGGGTGTGCAAAGGTCCTGGGGCAGCAGTGAGTGATTACCAGGAGTGACAGGGTCAGAGTAGGACACTCAGAATATCCTGACACTCCATTTTGTCTACATTGCTGCTCTACAGAGGCCACTCATAGAGCTGCTTTGTGTGTGTTGCAGGGACTTTAAAGGCATCATCCAGACCCTCCTCTGGGACAGCAATGAGCACCTGCTGATCATGGTGGAGGTGAGGGTCCCTGTCCACAGGCCAGTGCCCACTTGGAAGCATCTCCCCAGCTCTCTCTGCAGTCTGTTGAGCAGAGCACTAGGGGGAAGATTAGAGCCCCTCTCGACTTCCATCTGTTAACCTGTTGTGTGGGTTTTTTTTCCCCTCCTAGAAACTAAACCTCATTCATTCAACATTTATTTATTCATTTATTTGACCAGTCAGCAACATTTCTTGGACACAATTTACATGTCATGGGTGTACCAAGAGGAACAAGCCTAACTTCTGTCCCCAGGGCTCCCAGCAGCCCAGACACAGTGGGACCGAGAGAGCCAGGTGGGGCTTAGGAGCAGCCTAGGTGGTGTCCTGTTCCAGAACTCTCAGAATGTACCTAGGCTGCCTGCCTCCCACCAGCTGGGTCTTGCCCATCTTTGTGCACAGCCTAGTGCTTCCCAGTAAACTCCCAACCCTGTCTCAATTTGAGACACCATGGCCTTGTGTTTGCCATTCCCTCACTGAAGAAGCCGTGTGGTCTGCCTATGACCACGCTGGGCCAGCCTAGGATGCAGAGATGGTGACAAGGGCAGAGTACGTGTAGAGACTGGGAAGTGCAGAGACTTGGATGGGCAGGTGGGGCCGGGAGCCAGGGCCAAGCATCCTCACCCAGAACGGGACCACCTCTCTCTGTCAGGAATTTTACCAAAAAGAGAAGCACCCAGTCACCAGGCCTGAATGCATGTATGAAAGCTTTGACCAGTGTGCTGAGCACATCAGTAAGAAGATCCTAGAGTACCAGAACCAGACGGATGAGTACCACAACTCCTGCCTCCTGGGTATGAGCTGTGTGACTGGGAGGAAGCAGGCAGGAGGGTCGAGGGTGTGGCAGGAAACCAGTGGTGGAATTTGACCCTGGCCTTCCTCACTTCCACTCACTGGGGAGACAGAGGAACAGCCCTGTAAAAAGCCAACCTCTTGGAGTTAAGTAAAAGCAAGGATCAAATTTAACTGGGGAAAAATAAAAATAAACACATAATAAAAGGAGATTGACTTTTCTTGAGAAATGTAGTGGGTTTTACCACTAAAAGTGGGTTTTTTTTCTACTGTTTTTTTTTTTTTTTTTGAAAAAGGGTCTCCCTGTAGCCCCAGCTGGCTTAGAACCTACTGTGTAGACCAGGCTGGCCTCAATATTATGGAGACCAGATTGTCTCTGACTCCCAAGTGCTGGAATTAAAGGTGTGTGCCATTCACCCATGAGGTATATGTTCAATGGCTTTTAGTTTATAAATAGAATTGAATAACTCACCATTGTCAATATTAGCCCTGATCACTCTATCCCCTCCCACACCCAAGCCACCACATCCTACTGTGGTCCGTCACTATGATTTTTTCTGTACGTTCATGGGAATGGATTCATAGGGTCTTTTGTGACCATCTTCTTTCATTTTACAAAATGTTTTTTGAAGTTTGTGCATATTGTAAATGGTATGGTACGTCTTTCCTTTTTTTAATCTCCGAATAATATTCCACTGTACATCTGTCACCTTTGTTGTGCTCTGCTCTATGGTTTCAGAGGTGGCGGGGGGACGGGAAGTGGGGATTAGGGGATTAGGGGATAACCAGACCTGGGGCCAAGACCCAGCCCTGTCGTCTATCAGCTATATGACTTTGGCCTCAGTTTTCTTGTCTAGAAGCTAGAGAGAATAGTAGCACTACCATAGGACACCTCTTTGAGGATTAATCCCACACAGGAAATGACCAGCCGTAGTTCTCAGCACTGTGAAATCCAAGTTGTAGACAGCGTTTCCTAGTGAGTTCAGCCCGGCAGCCTCCTCACTCTCCCATTGAAAACATGTAAATTGTGCGATACAGTATTTTAAGGATATAGTCTTTTAAATGTATTGATGAACTGGCTGTATGGAACACACAAAAGCTCAAAATTAACTGTGAATAGGAACTATACTGAATTAAACAGAGACTCCAGTTACTGCTCTAAATTGCCCCTGTTTGTGGTCTTGGAGCATTAAGAAGAGGAGAGACATGCCAAGATCACCAAGGTTGGAGGTTCCACATGAAGCCTGGGACCACACAGGGCTCTACCTGCAGAGTACGGCCAGTGATGCAGAAAGCCCCTCCCTCTAACAACTAGAACCAAACTGGCTTATCAGAAACCTTAGTACTAGGGGAGGAAAACAGAAGCTTCAATGGGAATCCAGAGCTTTGAGTCCACCCTAATGTGGCTTCTGGTTCTGAATTCATACTTAGCAAAACATGAATTCAGTTTTGTTTCTACAGATCATTTGAAAAAATCTGAAACAGATACTTCAGCTTCAGACTGCCTTGAGCTGACAGTGTCTGGAATTTCCTTGACGCAGAGACTACACACATGCTCACTAGAAAATCTGCTT